AGCGATCAAAAGCGCTTTTTTATCGCATTAAGCCTATACCCCCTTTCATTTTTCGCGAACACTCCCTTTAACATCATTTTAAACGAAAGAATAACATTTGTATCCAGCCGTTATATACATTTATACTGTGTTTCAGATGGAAGACTACGTTAACAAAAAAATAGAATTTTTTGGGTCCATTCCTAAAAATCAAAAATGCTTAATTATCGGAGACTGGTAAGTTGACTTCATTTATATAAGTTACTTCAGCAAATTACCCGAAAATTTGCGATTTTTATGATAAAACAAAATTTTCGGTAGAAAACTACACCAACTCTACATATGTAAGATATTAAATTTGAAATATGAACATTTTCGTAGTTTTCCATAATTCAACAATTGAAATTTTTGGCAAAACAGTAAAACTGTTAATGAATTATGATTTAACATACATACAAACCAGCAAACCGATGCTGCAAAGAAATTTCTGCAACACAAAGTATTACATAATTATAACATAAGTTGGCTCTATATTTAAGCACTCATTTAAAGATTTTACTGGTTTAATAGTAATATTTAGAACACACAGTAACCAATTGTAGGATATTCAGAGCGTCCCATATCATATTTTATTATCTCCAATATTTTACACCAAAATACGCACATAATACTTAAAAAATCTAGCATTTTCTGCAATAAACAAATAAATTATCATTATTTAAATTTTAAAAATGATTTGTTATTCTAAAATTTTCAGATTTTTCCCCAAAATCTTCATTTGTACTCAATGACGCGTTCTAATTTGATGTGGGACACCCTGTAGTAATAAATAAATATTAAATGTTTAACATTAAGGACATTACAGAAATTCACAATAAATCATCATATGAAGTTCTTACTATTTAAATCACATGAAAGAGGTATTTTAATTGGAATTAATGTGCTAAAGGGAAGGCACCTTTAAACACTAGTCAAAAAATTCCCTTACACAAATAGTATTTTTGGAAGCAATGAAAAAATCTATTGAAAAGCATTTTAATCATTAAGGAGAACTGCCAAGAATTATCTGGAAAGAACTTTAGGTAAACTATTTCTTATTTGTTTTCATAAATATTTTATCAGTCTCGTTCAAATGATTATTTTATACAATATATAAATGCCATTACAGTACAGTAAATATTGTTACAATAAGTGCATTGAAACTGTAGATTTCTAGAAAGATGGTTTGTTACATTACAAAGCCAAATGTAATATCTATGCATGCAATGTCAATTGAAATGACTTTTTAAAAAAAAATGAAGAAATAGTTTCAAAACAATAACTTTAAAGAATTATTAGAACTTGATTTCACAATAATTGAATGGTTGAATGATAAAGGAATTGAGTCTTTGCCACAAGCTTAAATTTTCCCATTCATATATTTTTGCAACACCATGCTGTAAGTCTTAGAAATTTCAAACTAAGATTATTTAATCGAACAAAATAAATTGTTTTACATATGTAATGTCTTCGATATTTGGCTTCAATCCTGTAGGCATTAGAAAATTAGTGTTTGTGGCAAAGACTCAATTCGTTTATATAATTTTTCTAATTTAAGGAGGATTAGGAACGTGTAGGTCGTCAAGAAAGGCAAATACAGGTATACATTATAAAATGCGTAGTTATTTTTATCGGTTATTTAGAGCTTATAATTCAGAACGTAATTTAGAAAAAATTATTTTGTTCCGTTTTTTTAAGTTAGTTGAATATGTTATATTCTTAACCATAAACACTGGGGGCATTGGGGGGNAAGGGGGGGTGGCGCAAGTACGCTGACATTCTTTTTTTGACATTAGTAGTTGTGTTAAATTAAATGAGCGTAGTTTTTTTATAACAACATTTAGCCCATCAATGGTGAGAATTTAACAAATGAAAATAATTAAGTTCATTGGAAATAATATTGAAATACTTTAATCCTTTTGCCGTATTATATTTGTATTATGTAAAATATTGTTTAGGATCTTTTGTTGGATTTAGGCGCCATTTATATATTCAAGGCATTGATACCATGTAAATTAGTATAATAATTCTTTGATAATTAACAGAAATAATTTTGTTTAGATTGTTTCAATTTTAAAGGGTTTGTTCTCGAAAAATTTAACGAGGGATAAGCTTACGGCCATAAATAGTTTGTTTTCATCGCTATTAATCTTACTTCTGTCTGTTGCATATATAAGAAAAACATTGTTAAAAACGTTGCATACCTAACAAAGTAGGTTGCATAAAAATTGAGGAACTTTTGAAAAACAACTTTGATCGTAAATAAATAAATTAATTATTATAAAATAATTTTGATATAACATCCTATAGTAATACATTATTTTTCAACGTTTTTATTTGATAATATTTCTTATTTTGTGGTTTTTAGAATTACTATTTCGCTTACAAATTGTTTGCACGACTGGCCTAATACATGAAAATTCTGGAAACATGATTAAATTAGGTCAAAAGACGTAAAACATAGAATGAAATATCAATGTATATTATGTGTCGAAAAATTATCGATAATTATAGGTTGTAATATATGAATTTATTCTTAGGAATACATTTTTTGGTTACAGTCAGTCGTATGTTTTAAATTTCTCAATTATGAAGTAATGTACGTTCTTTGCTGTGATACGTTTTAAACTGTTTTGTGCTTTTAAAAAAGATTAAAAGGTGTTATTTATCGCCATAAGCGTATACCCCCTAACATTTTTCGAGAACACTCCTTTTAAAAAGAAGTTTGGGCATATAGATATGTCAATAAGACCCCAAAAATTTTGAAATCTAAGCCATTCATCAATATGCTCTAAAACACCCCCACCCCAAAAGAAACAAAAAAAAAACAAAAAAAAATAAATTAGTTGAAAATTTTCAATTTTATGGTAGTATAGAGGACGTGGGTCAGACTCTAATAGAAACGCATAAAGTACTTCCAGTATCTATATTTCTTATAACTTATTACTAGAGGGTTCAGAACATGAGTCAATATCGATATCACACGTGTAGATGTTTCATCAGTACTATGCCCCGTATCCGTTCTATCTCATTCTGTTGAATCTTGTGAACTTGTTTAACGCGGCCAGGCATCGTGTTCCACAGTAGTGATGATTGAGAACTATTATTTAAAATATTTATTAATGTAATAATTTATTGTTTTGAGTTTACATGCCTCTGATTAAGATCATAACGGAAACAAACTACATATAGTTCTGAGAAGCTCTGATGAAAACTCATATGTCGATTTATGTTGGTACAGGAACGGAGAGGTAAGTAAACATAAAAAAGATTATGTTTTAGTAATGTAAAATAATACAATCCTCCTTTGATTTCAGTTTAACTATAAGACATAAACAAAATAAATAATTGTTAAATAGGTTTGTAACAGTTATATAGAACTTTTTTCCAAAAAATAAAAAAATTCTGAAGAAGTTTAACTGAAGTACGAAATCTAAATACATTAGAGATTTTATGACTGAACTCAGAGGAATGAACAGAAAAAAATATTTTTTATCTAATTTTGAACTGTAATTCAGTATTTTTTCCAAAAATAGTTGTTTAATGTTTATGTTCAATTTTTTAAAATGTTAAATTTCCCTCTTTAAACAAGCCGGCCACACCTCCCCCTCCACCCGATTTACGCAAAGTTAGTTAAATAGATCGACCCCTACCACTACTCTATACACACGTCTAAAGAGTTTGTTTTTAATCTTTGTGACAGAACCAATCTCAAGGACTAATATTTGTCTTAAAATTTTTTTAAAAACTGAATATTTGCAAATTTTCTTTATTCCATATCATAATCTGAGATCGTTTCCCTGATGTCCATTTGACAGCCCAAATTATTATTTTGAATAATTTTTTTTGTTTGTTTATTACTTGTGATTGAAAAAAAAATCTTCTTCATTTTTTTTTCAATTTTGATTGTTATTATTTCGTTAGAAATGACGAGGGTCAACCCAGACCGAAATATATTTTCAATAAATGTGGAACTAACATATACTTTTTTTACTGTACAGAGGTTTGGTTCATCACCATCACCGAATTTAAAATGTTAGATAAAACATTGAATTTTTCGAATTTTGATGTCAAAACTTTATAGAAATAATAGAAATGAAGAAGATGACATTTAATCGGTATAAATTAAATAAATCTTGAATTCACTTGAAGCAGGGCATTTAAATATTTTTGGGTGGTTGAATGGGTGGGGGGGTGTTTGAAAGTAACAGTTTACTGAGATATTTAAGATGAGGTAGTGAAAGTATCAATTGTACTTAAGATATTAAAGAAAGGACAATAACTTAAGTAAACATAAATATATGAAATTATACGAAATATCAAATGAGTACCTATGAATGAACATCATTTGTCATACTTTTGTAAATTACTGCAGTTAAGTGAAAGCTTAGATTTAAAAACTATATAAAATAGGAAATGCAAATAAATATTTTTATAATAATATAGTTATTAAAGTTTGTTGTTGATAAAAAAAAATCCTAAAATTTATTTTTATTATTTTAGATAATTAGTCATGGTGAAGTTTCTGAATTTATAAGAAAAACTATTCCACGACCTCAGAGCACTTCAAAGGTATACTAACATTAAATATCCGTAACTCAGAGAAGTTCTCTATTGGAATATAAGAAACAACGTTTCTTAAGGGTCAAAGCAGAGAATATTGTGATGAATTATTATAAATTAATGTTTGAAGTAGGGTTTCCACCGGAATTCCGGGTTATGGTTTACTTACGGAAGTGATTCGGGAAATTTTTTCCATTTCCATTATGGAAAAGGTTCCGGAAAACCGGAATTCCGTTCTTCAAATTTTCAAACTTTGTAAATATGAATTTAATTAAAATAAGAAAAATTCTTTAAGTTCCGGTTTACGGAATGGAAATTTTCCAGTTTACGATACGTAAACCGTAAAAATTTCCGGTTTACTGAATGGAAACCGGAAATTTTTCCTGTTTACGAAATGGAAACTGGAATTTTACGGTTTCCATTCCGTAAAACGGAATTTTTTCCGGTTTACGTGACGTAAACCGGAAAATTTCCGGTTTCCATTTCTACCGTAATTATCCAGGAATTCCGGTTTACGCAACAAATTTCCGGATCATTCAATTTCACAAATGGAAATTTTCTTCGGGAAAAATGGAAACCCTAGTTTGAAGGCAAATAACCAAGTTCTATTTTTATAGAATGAAAATTTTATTTATAACTCTAATTTTTTTTTTCAAAATCAGCAAATTTCAAACAGAGTGGAAACTATAATTTAACTTTGTTTTAATTGTTGTATATTAAATAGAGGATTGTTAATTTATTTTATGTACCAAAGAATTCTGATTTTGTAGTTATAATAAAATTTATTTTAGAGTGTTGAGCTGGTGCAAGAAACGATAGGAATTTTAAGCAGTCCTAGAATAGCGTATGAGTAAGTTGTCATAATAAATTGTTGTTGCACATTTTGTTATCTGTGTAATACTACTGCAAAATAACCTTTAGTACTTGGTAAAATAAAATGGACATTATTGGAAGGTGTTTGTGACCTTGTTCCTCCTATAGTATTGATTTGTACACACAATATGATAAAAACAAACTTCTCTGCTTATATATTAGTAATTCAAAACATTTTCGATCTTCTCAATAGCTCTTCAATAAGAAAGTTATGAATGAAAACAGTTTAAATATAAGTTTCGTCGAATTATGTAAATTTTTTTTCAATGCATTTCAGATTAATATTAAGAAATGGTAGACAAATTCAATTGTGGTTCAAGCAAATATTGTTTTCTGTACAAACACACATTTAATAAGCATAAAATTAAAGTGTCAACAACGTTTAGTGGGAAAAGTTATTAAAGGTATCCCATTATAAAGTTGCAAACTTTGTTTGTGGATATTTGGTTTGATTGTTTTATAACGCAGATGATTAAAGACATTTTCTCTACAAAATGTTTTAATTGTGAATTTACAATTGAAACAAGGAAACCTGCAAATAATGATATTTAAGTAAGAATGGTTAAAAGAAATTGAGTCTTTGCCACAAACTATGATTTTCTAATCACTATATCTTTGGAACCAAATGTTGCAGACCTTAGATATTTCAAACTATGAATTCTGTTAAATCAAATAATCTAATTTAGAAATATCAAAGATTTACAACATCGCAAAGATATTGAGGTTTAAATATTTGATTTTGTTCCTAATAATCAATTGCTTTGTGCATGAATGAAAGCATTTAAAGAAATCAATTTTATTTCCCATATTTTATAATTTTATTCAGTAAAAATTTTATCTTAGACGTGTACAAATGTTGACCAAGAGTTCACCAAAGGATGGCACAACTGTAGACGTATGTAAACATATACTTTTGATTAACTAACGTTGGAAACCTTTAAATCATAAAATTATTATTAAAGATAAAATTACTTTCACGCAGCAAAATATTGTAAAGCCAAAAAATATGTAAATCGTCCAAATATTAGACCAAATATTGTCGGAATTTTATAAATTTGAGCCGTGTATTAAATGCCCCAAAACCCGGTCTGAATGGAGCGCCGGCTTAAAGGGAGTGTTAACGAAAAAATTTTACCTCTAGGGCTGGCGTCTCGTTTAAAGGAAGTGTTCGCCAAAAATTAATGGGGGTATAGGCTTTATGCGATAAACAAGCGCTTTTGATGGCTTCTAATCTTTCTTCTATCTGTTGCGTCTATAAGGAGAAAATTGTTAAAGACGTCTCATACTGAATAAATTAGCGCCCATAAAAATTGAGAAAATTGAAACTTACTTCTTAGACCTTAAAAAATGAATTTAATTTAAAATAAATCATTCAGATTTTACAACCTTTAGTCATTGATTATATTTCGCGACATTTGTATATAGTTTATATTTAATAATATTTTTTAATTAATTTGTTTTGAATTTAATTTTTTCTCTTGTCGCTTGCACAACTATCTAAGAATGACGTGCACCATTCACATATTTAGAAATCCGTTTAAACGTTTTAAAATAATTAAAATATAATAAATATAAAGTATATACAAATGTGGCGAAAGATAATCCATGACTAAAGGTTGTAATATCTGAATGATTTGTTTGATATTAAATAGATTTTTTACGGTCTAAGAAGTATGTTGCAGTTTTCTCAATTTTTATGGGCGCTAAGTTATTCGGTATGAGACGTATTTAACAATTTTCTCCTTATAGACGAAACAGATAGAAGTAAAATGAATATCAATGAAAGCGCGTTTTTTATCGCAATAAGCCTTCACCCCCTTCTATTTTTCGCGAACACTCCCTTTAGATCTTGAAACATTGAATACAATTTTAAGAGGAACGAACTATATTTCAGCGACGGTTTAAATTAAAGCCGTGACTGAGATTGACAAAATTAGTTGTATATCATGAGCATTTGATTAATTTTTAAAATGACTGATTAATTACAAATACAGTTTAAAACAATTTTTTGTTTTTTTTTCTCAAATACTAAAATTTATGACATGAATACAGTCTTATATATAATAATTTAATATATTCAAACTGTGACTTACTTAAAGCTTATTCAGGATAATTATTCCCAATATATTATTTCCCAATAAATATAAAGACTCAAATCATTTTTTTAATTCATAGACTTAAGTTGACTTTTTGGGAGCACAATAAAAAATGTTGTAAAAAATTTCATTATCATTAATTATCAGATGGTGAAGAGCGCTAAAAAAAGAAGGAAACTATTTGAAGAAGCTAAAGGTAAATAAAACTTATTTTAATTTGTTTGTCAAAAATGAATTCCCCCCACCCAACTGTAATATAAGAGAAATCTTAAAGTGTGTGTTAGCACAAAATGACATTAAAAGTATTTTAAAACAAATATGTGTTTTAAGAGAGTAATTAAAATACATTTTTTTCAGGAACAGTCTTCTTGCACATGATTAAACCCATAGTTACACTTTAAATAAAGATTATGTTTGATAAGTACATAAATGCCTTCTAGATATATATTAACATGAAATAACGCGTGTATAAAAGGAGAGGAAGTTTATTGGGTCTTTTCTTGTTTATAGATCAAACTTGACAGATTTGCGGTTTCATAATCCTCTTTCATACTCATAATTGTTTACAATATATACAGGAGAAGACGTGATGGAAGATTTGTCAAAGATCCCCACAATAGTGAATGATGGAAAGAGATGCAATGTCATAATTAGTGATAAATGCGTCATGTCTCTCATTATTGGTAAGAATAATTATCCATAGTACTGTAAAATTAATTTATCTTACAAGATAATATTCTGGAAATGACAGTTATAATAATTTTACCTTGTTAACAATAAATTTTATTTATTATGAAAAAAATTACATAATGCACTTGAACGTCTTTGATTTTCTGAAGATTGGTTAAAATAGTGCTGTAAGTATTTTACCTATTCAATAAATACAGGGTGTCCCAATAACCATCCGAAATTTAGTGTGGAGTTCAAGATCGTTTTTTCAAATAATTCTTTGATTTACTATAGGTATACCTACTGAGAAACCTGTAATGTGCGAGTTTCGTCTGCTATGTTCACATTTGTTTGTTTATGTTTTGACTGCATACTGTTGTACTTAATAAAACAAGAAAATTACAGTGTACAAACTTGTCCGTCTTCACTGTTCATCTTGCGGAGACATTATAGACACATCTTTAAATTATTTTATCCCTTTTCATAAAATAAACGCTAGCAGACATAATAATATTATGGCTTTTGATATTAGGCATTACAATGGTAATACATAACAAAGACAATATTGAATTCGTCACAGAATTCCCATTTATTTTGGTACATCCTGTATGTAAATAAAATAATTTAATGATACAATAGCTGAAAGGATGAGAAACGTTTTTATATACCTATATCGCATGTTAATATGTATTTCCCTTGAAACTTGATGAAGTCGTTAATTGTTTAAAAAATATTAATGGACATTAATTTGAAAAGAATTATCAAACCTAAGTAGCTGTAACCGTTTTTAAAATTGTTAGTCTTAAAATTGCAATTTATCTTTTTTTTACATTAAACTTTTGACTTAACAAACAGATCCTTAAAATTCTCGTCTGTGGTAGTGTAGCATACACTGGTACATTTCATTTCTTGACCAATGTTTTCATTGAAATCTAAAGTAATTATAACAAATATTCAATTCAATGATAATTAAATATATTTATATTAAATAATAATTAAATATATAATTTAAATTACCGATTTATAGGAGGCACGAGCAACGTACACGGATTAAACAGACCTCTGAATATTGACTACACAGAAATGAAGTCACCATCCATGAATATATTAGTTACATCTGTGCAGGTAAGGGAATACCAAATTTGGCTACATTGTATATGATAAATTATACTTTTTACAGAAATACTTCATACAACTGAACTTGCTAACAATACTTTAATTTGATGAATGCTGTAAAAATATGAATGAAAAGTCCTTAAATGTAATTTATTCCTCATAAAGTATCCTTAAACTGTATGATTAACAAGATTTGTTTTTTTAACATTTTTGTGTTTAATGGTGTAAATTTTTGTTTTATTGTATAATTATGACTTTGATTTGTTACAATGGCTGGAAATGTAGTGGTTTCCAACTCAAATATTGAGTATATAGCGAAAATCTTTGTTTAACATAGCAATTATGGGAATGTCCAACAAGAATGTATGGGTCTCGTGGTGTCGTGAATATTTGTGAATCCAATTAGAGCCTGGTGTTCTCCAACAAAACACCCATGTGGTCTCCATGTTCAAAGTAAATAATTATAGATTCCGTTCATAAGAAACAAGAGAGGGGAGATGATTCAAGTGTATGGTCCCATGATGGTTGGGACTCACCAAGGGAACCTAGATATAAGAGACATGGGTAAGGTGTTATGTATAATATTTTAAAATTATTATGTAGAAATTTATGTTTGAATTGATATTAAAACTTTACATTTTGCTTGTTTATTAGTTGAGAATAATAATTTATGTTGATAAATATTGTTAAGGTGTACACATGCAAAGTTATCCGGACCACATGCCAATAGCAGTTATGTCAGGTAAAATGCAAAATAATTCGGATTTTGATTTTGAAACTAAAGTACGGAGTAATACACAATTTGAAACATGAACATATAAAATTTTTAAACAGAGTGACCAGCTATGTAAGGTAGTTAAACTGAGAATGCAGTGTTGTGTGCAAATTCTTTAAGATTAATTTTAGACATATAAAACGTTTTAAAGATATATATATAGCTCCTTAGTTTTAGCGCAAAGACGACGTTTAAACTTTTTTGTGAATACGTTTTTGGAATTCTTTTTAAATTATTAAATATTAACGACTGAAATTATAGTTATAACTGTATACTTAAATAATTCAATGCTAAGGAACATATTTATCAAATAAAGAAATTGAGTCTTTGCCACAAACTCTGATTTCTAATCACTATAACTTTGGAACCAATTGTTGTAGACCTTAGATATTTCAAACTATGAATTCTGTTAGATCAAATAGTCTAAATTTGAAATATGAAAGGTTTACAACATAGGGCTCGAAAGATATTGAGGTTCAAATATTTGATTTGTTCCAAAGCCTCAATTCCTTTATGAATAAATGAATGTTAGAATAAATTATTTTGTTTTCATCATTATATGGAATTTATTATTTTCTATTTATTTGTTGACAAGGGAATTAAGTCTTTGCCACAAACTTAAATTATCAAATTTCTCTATCTAGTCTAATAATGCAAGCATTTAATATTTTAAACTTAGGTTATTTCATCTTACAGAAGGCATACTTAGAATTATCTAGGGTCTACGACATAAGGTTGCAAAGATATAGGTATCATAAATCAGAGTAAGTGGAAAAGACTCAATTCCTTTTTTAACAATTTTAAAATGTCATTTTTCAATATTCATTCAAGAAAATCTTCAGAAAAATTGATGGAAATCTTATGAATAATGAGAGATCGCGAAACTAATAATTAAATAACAATTTTTATTTTTGATGATAAAGAGTAAATTTTCTTTTCTTTTCTAACTCTGTTCTCAAACAATTAATCAATTAATTGTAGAATTTTTTAACATTTCTTCTTGTTACTTAATAATTAAAAAAAAAAACTCTAAACGTATAAACCATAAAGTCCTGAGTTCCAAAGTCGACTTTGCGCTGAAACTCAGGAGTTATATATCTTGAAAACGTTTAATAAGTCTCAAATGAATCCTAAAGAATTTGTCCACAACACTGCATACACTGTTCAACTACCTTACATAGGCGATCATTCTATTTAAGTTCATGAAATGTTTAGAATCTCTTACAATTATTCGTAAATATTTAACATCAATAAACTTTATGTTTGCGACATATTCCAATTTTGTATTAATTTCATGTGTTTTGTGTGAAAAATATGATCTTTGATATTACAAACTTTTATTTAATTCAACAAAATTAAAATATAAAAATTTTATTGAATTCAGAAACCAAAGGTATAGAGCCAACATGAGACTTCTGATGTTTTATCATTTTTTAAATATTGTAATAATGGTATGTTTATTTACATTTTTTAAAATTTTAGATGATACGAATCTCTACAGAGGCATAGGTAATTTTTGTTTAATATAAAATTTGTCTGTTGATTACTATTAATATTGTTGAACTTGTTGAAAATAAAAATAAGGAAAAGTTTTTAAATCTTTTATATTCAATCTATATATCAACTAATTTTTTTACTTATTAGTAATATAAATTATAAATGTCTATGAAATTAAGAAAAGGGCTGTGATCATGATAAGCTGATAATTAAAAATGAAATGGAAGATGAAAGTTTTTTAAGTTAGCAAAATATTTAAGGGAAGGCAAGAATAAATGTTCTTTCACAAATTGCGGGATGGGTACTAATAGTTGAAACCCAAAAAGATCTATATACTTTGCTTGTATTTTGAATAAAAATTAGAATTTCCAAAATATACGAAATTATCAAAGTAATATTAAAAATACGAAAATTGGTTTCATTGAATTTGTTTTATTGAATACAAAGAGGAACTCTTTACAACTTAAAAGAAATATCGACCTTTAAAGTTATTGAAAGAGTTATATATATAATTTTTTTCAATAATTGGGAAATTGAATATTTATGTCGTATTAATTTTATGAATAAAATGTAACAATACTTTCAACACAAAATGAACACTTTAAGAGAAAGTTTTTTGAAGTAATCAAAAATTGGTTCTTTGTCACTAGTAAAACAAGGAAATTGCACTATTGTTAATCCTTGATTACACAAGCCGCAACTAGGGACGTGTGTGTCGGGCGCAACCCCCCCCCCCCCCTTTAAAAAATAAAGAAAGAATGGCGAAAATCAGTATGACAGGAATGAGGACACGAATATTATCTCTCCTTTTTCAATGTAGATGATTAAAATTATATACATATTTGCATCTGTTTAAAACATACCAGCGACTATTTATGGGTTTAATTTTTTTTTTGTCATAAGATATAAATGATTATTATTTGTAATTAAATCTGTAATTCAAGTATGGGTACTTAACAATTTTTTTTTTCGCTTAACGCACACATTTTACTAAAAATTGACTCAATTTTACATCTGTTAGAAGTATAAATTTATAGTAAACAAAAGAAAAAATCGATTAGATTTAAACACAGCTAAATATGCATGCACGCAAGAAAATTTCCTTTTTTCGACTTCAAACTGTTAAAAACGCACTTTTATTATGATATTTCCGAAAAAAGGTGGGGGTTAGCCACCCCTTCACCCCCCCTAGACCATTACCAAAAATATTTTGCCCCCCCCCCCCCTTCATAGCATAAGTACTAGTTGCGCCTCTCTTGATTACAGACATGAAATAGAGGTTACTTTAAATAACGGTTTAAAGAATACTAATTGTTAATTATAATATTTAGTACGGCCAGAAGACAATACTATACATCTGAAGTGTTACGTGCACAAGGTAAGGGTATTAATATGTATTAAAAAACAACAAATAAGAATTGTAGATTATTAAATTTGAGCTTATACAAATATAATTTAACCAAACAAAATATTACATTTCTGATATATATGAATGAAAAATTTGTTTTCTAAGTAACAATAGGGTAAATTTGCCCTCTTGGTAGAAAGAAAGTGTGTAGGGTATATAAAATATTTGCAAGTCAACAATTTAACATTTGAGAAGATATGGTTTAATAAGGTCTTAGAATTTTATTTTTTTCATATGCAGATTTTTATATGAACATTTTCATTTAATGAGTATATGAGGAAACTTGACCAAATGTTAAAAACTAAACTTGGTACCGTATCATCTCTAATACAGAACACTATTTGGAAGTACAACTTTTGTTAGTTAACGGAAATAAATTTTGAATCTAGATGATTTATGGTGTTTACGTCATTTTAGTAAAAAACATTCCCCTTAGCCAGCGTGTCTTGAAACATTGCATTGAATAATCGAATCATTTAATATTTTTAATAATTTAATTTGCAGAGACGAAACATTGAGGACAAATGCAAGGCACTTAACATTGACCCTAAACATCAATGCGAGATTATTTTCGGGAACAGGTAAATTAACAAATAAAAGAAACACACTAAAGCCTCAACTAAAATTTAAAATTTCTACTAATAACAGTTAAAAGAACAATTTAGAAAACACGGCTATCAGGGCACTGATCGGGAATTTATTCTAAATATTTTATAGTTGCCCAATCTTTATACTTTTTATATTTATGAGAGTGAATTAAAATCTACGTATTTGAATTATTGATTCTTAACATTTTATTTAAATCAAACATATTTTGTAATAAAAATGACTTGGATTTCTTTTTAACCTTATCCCCGCTGGGGTACTTAAAAACCAGGATACGCTGGGGGGGGTCAATTTGACCCCCCCCTCTAAATCCCATGTTTTATGTCCAAATATGACAAATGATACATCATTAGAAAGCTCTTGTGCTCTACTTTTAGAATCTGCCAAAAAATTTGCAAATTTGCGAAAATTGAATTTTTTATCNATCTCTAGAAATTTACTTCTAAAATCAGGTTGACAAAAAAATGCAGCAAATTATATAAAAAATCAAGACGATATTCAAGTCGTCCTGCATACTGTCATGTTTCGTGGGACACCCTGTATGTTAAAGATATCTATTTTTTAAAACTATTTTTTGTTATACTCAGCATAAATAATCCATACAGGAAATCTGGTAAGGTCCCTCACCAAAGGAATTATTTTTTTTCCTCAAACTAAAATTTTATAATTTCTACTAGAAAATAAATGAAATATGATGAAAAACCTTAGATATTTTAAACAATTGGATGTAAAAGAATTTATAGTTAGAAATATGAAACTCGAGTTGCAAAGATATATCGTTTTAAGAATTACACTTAAAAAAAAAACATTTTGCTTAAACAAGATAAGTTTGCCTGCGTTAATATTATACAAAAAAACAGAAACCCAGAGAGAGTGCATACAAACTGCCGGACAAGGAAACAATATAAATATATGAAAATACGCAATAATTCTATCAATACGATCTATTATAAATACAAAATAAAAATAATATTATTACAAAATAAGGAAACCTTAGATTTTCATGGTCCTCTCATATATATATTGGTATTCAGATTGGTTATGTATTTGTTGAATATGAACTGATTAATAATTCAATTTTTAAACAAAATTAGACATATATACACTTTGTTATAATTTTGACACAGTTTTATATCAATTTATCAAGATTGGAGCATCAGATAAATGTCTAATATAAATCGTTTAGTACCTCAAATTTTCAGGTTTAACCATAAACCCGCTTTAATTTTTCCTTCACAATAACATAATGTAATAAATTATAAAAATGAATATTACAGGCATTGGAGAGGCGTGGGAGAGAACATGCTTGTACAGGGTATAGTAGGTGATATGTTTGCTTATTTAAAAAGATTTAATTTAAATTAACTTAATGATAAAAACTGAAAAACCTATGGATCACATTGTCGACACTCATCAAGATATTGTATGATACTTAATAAAATAAATGAGATATTTGTTTGTAAAATTTATTGAACAAATAAGAAATTTCTTAATAGAATCATTATTTTAACTGAGCTCAAAAATCTGAAATAGTAAATATAAAGAGTTTTACTTTATCCTCCATTTTTTCTTATTGGAAGACTAATTTAGTCTTCAGAATAATTTCTTCCGAGTAGAGATGCGGTCTTGAACTTTTAGGAAACATCTTTATTCAATTTCATTAATAACTTAATGATAGATTGAACTAAATTAAGTTTTTGATTCATGTTTATTAAGATGAACTTTCATACTGACTATAGTCCTCAATAGTTATACAAAAAAGTTTTGATAAACATGATTTAATTTATATTTCATATTCCAATTATAAAGTTACAAATGTAAAAGTTGTGATATATACTTATTAAAACATGAAATAATATGACTTTTATTTATTATTAATTTAGGAACGGATAATGTCCAGGAGTTCAAACAATTGGTAGGGGATTCACCTCTCCATGAAGAAATTAAATTATACCTTCTTGCTCAAGCAGAGAGTTTTTGCACTTCTTACAGTAAGATATGCATATATATATAACTAACCAAAAACTTAGTAAATTAAAGGGAGTGTTCGCGAAAAATGAAAGGGGGTATAGGCTTAATGCGATAAAAAAGAGCTTTTGATCATTACTAATCTAACTTCTATCTGTTGTGTCTATTATGAGAAAATTGTCAAAGATGTCTCATACTAAATAACTTAGAAATTGATGAAATTGCAACATACGACTTTGACCGTAAAAAAATGAGTTTAATTACAAGTTAATCGTTCAGATATTACAACCTATAGTCATGAATTATCTTTCCTCACATTTCTATATAGTTAATGAAAAGAAGTAAATCAAAATATTATGTATGAAAGATAGGAATGCATTTTTTTATTTAACCAGTATAATGTACAGGTAATGAAGCTAAACGAAAAGGTGGATTTAATGAATACGAGAGGGCCACAACAAATTGTTTAGGTAAATGAGAAAATCATGAAATTTTAATTTTAATATTTCTTGTCAAAAGGAAATGATTAAACAAATATTATTTACCCTTTCAAAACCAAATTTAAATGAAATTTCAACCATATAATGTAAATTTTTAAAACCAAACAGAAATTGATTTTTTGATACAAACTTTGCCTTTATAATCTTAATATATTTGTAACACAATGCCGTACACACTATTTCAAACTATTAATACTTTTACATAAAATAAGCAGTTTGAAATTTCAAAGCTTTGCAGCATTATCCTACAAAGATATTGTGATTAGAATATTTAGTTTGTGGTATAAACTAAATTACTTTATGGCAGGGGTGTATATAATTCCATTTCCCCCCCCCCCCCCCGGGGGGGGGGGGGGAATCAAAGGTCACAAAAGAGTGGAAGGGGATGGGAAAGGAAAGAGAAAGGAGAAGGGAAAGGGGAAGGAAAGGTGAAGGAAAGTGGAAGGAAAGGTGAAGGGAAGGAAAGGGGAAGGGAAGAAGATGGAAGGAAAGGGAAGGAGAAGGGAAGGAGAAGGTAAGGAGAAGGTAAGGAGAAGGGAAGTAGAAGGGAAGGAGAAGGGAAGGAGAAGGGAAAAAGAAGGGGAGGAAAAGGGAAGGCGAAGGGTAGGGGAATGGGAGGGGAAGGGATGTTGAGGGAAATGTGATGGGAAGGGAAGGAGAAGGGAATGGAATGGGAAGTTAAAGTGGAGAGGATGGGAGAGTAAGGGGAATTGGAAAAGAAGGTAATGTATTATCACAATTGTTGTAAAGAGAATACAGTGTGTAATTATCTTATTTAAATCAACACAAGCTACAATTTTTTCTCTAGGAACCATATTTTTGTATGTTGAAAAACTTAAGGAACAGTTGAGCCAAGCCAACTGAAAGAAAAATTCTCGTGATCTGATCAAGAAATGATGTATGGAATTGGGATACCATCAGAACATGTCAACAATCTTAAAAATGGAATTTACAGAACTTATTTCAAACTTAAAAAGACAGTAAAAAGATCTGCAGCTGTGCGCCTGAACCTGGAAATGATGTCTGTCTTTCCTGACATCCACAAACATTCAGGATTAGGAAGATGATGATAATGAAAAGGATGATAAAGTCAAAAACAACCATCTAACATCTCAGGATATTTCTGAGCAAGAGGTTTCAGTTATGTCTTTGACTGACAATTCTATTGAGAAAGTTGAAAAGCAACTTACAGAGGTATGTGAGGACATCTTTTCATCCTTGGAAAAACGATTTAAACCTACTTCACTTGTAAAGGCTTCTGTAGAGGCTTTTCATAGAACAGAGTGGGCTGAGAACATCAGTAAAGACAAGCTAGAAACAATTGCCAGAGTACATCCTAGAGGAGCTGGTTGAAAAACTTATAGAAGACAAACTTCAGGAGAAGTTTGAAGTTCAGAATACCTTTCTGCAGACATATATTCAATTCCTGACATTTAATCAAAATTTTTATCAGCAGTCCTTGGAAGTGCTATATCAACTGTTCCAAAAGAATTTTATGCAGAGTTCGTATGCAGAGTCTAGATTCTTTGACTTGTTTGTACATGTTGATATCAAATCATATACTGAAGCCTACTGTGAAGTTTGGGATCCATCATGAATATACTAGTTAATAAAGAAAGAAACATCACATCAAGCTTTTTCTCAGAGAGGTTATCATAGATATTAATGATCCTCCTCTTCATATCTTAAAGAAAAAAATCATCCCAGCAATCAGGGATGAGTTTATGAAGGAGATGACCTTTTTAAAAAAGTTGTACAATGCCAGACGTTTCAGACAGTACTCCAAACTGAAGTTTGGAGATCTGTATGCAACTCTTGCACAGGTACGGAAAAACCAAGAGAATCATTCTCATGTCCCTGTAGACTGTTACTGTTTATTTAAGTACGAAAAAGTATTTTTTTTTAGATGATACTATAATAAATCTAAGAAATGTTTAATCTATGTCTTTTGAGTTGTAGAGTTTGTGGAAGGAGTTTAACAAAAAAAAATTTAGAGGGGGGAGAAATAATCAAAATTATGTAATTAAATACAGCCCTGCTTTATGGTTAATTGGAAAATGATAAATAAGAAGCTTTGTATAGACATGCCAAAAGAAACACAGAATTTTTGAACATTAAATTTTGTATAACATAATGATATTTGTCATGACCACGGCATGGTTATTCACAAATATGATGCATTTTACGCATCAGAAATGATGACAATTTTATCGTTAAATAAAATCATTCAAGTGAATGTAAACGAAAAATGAAAGGGGGTAAACGCTGAAAGCTAATTAGTTTAGCTCTTCATCACGACCCATGAAACTTATATCTGTTGTTCCTGTCTAGAGAAATTGATATGAAACTGTGTCAAATTCATATAAATACAAATTGTTATAGAAATAGTATTTACCAATAATTTAGAATAATATTTAGCAAATAAGCAACGAATATAAAAAGTAATATATTCCAGAGAAACCTAATTGTAACCAATTATAATTTAATAATTATTTTTTTTAAATTTTAAAACATAAAAATTGATATTTTTATTTATAAATTGTTATGACGTAATCAGAACTTGCAACAATGGTAGTGAAGTATAATGGTCACGTGATACAGACAAAGACACGTGTTCAGTATGGGTGGGACTTGTGCTGTATATAATCTTTGTATAAAGGAATTGAGTCTTTGCCACAAACTCTGAATTTATAATCCGAATATCTTTGGAACCCAATTTCGTACATATTAGATATTTCAAACTTATATAATTTGATCTAACAGAATTCATAGTTAGAAATATCTAAGGTCTACGACATTATAATCTAAATATATACGGATTTTAAATTCAAATTTTGTTGCAAAGACTCAATACCTTTAACACTGTTTTATATTAATTTTTGGAGACAGGAACAGGATTGTTCGGACTTAAGAGCTAAAGCAATTATCTTTCAATCTATAACCCCTTTCATTTTTCGTTTACAGATTCTTTAATGAATGATTTTAAAATTAACATTTTACAAATATTTATATATTCATCTTGTGTAAATAATGTCAAGGTACGAACAAATTGAATTTTCACTGAATGAATTCCTTACAATAAATGATTATTGATAAACTTTCATTTTGTTTTCGAAAACATTTGATATGTGTTCCAAATAATTAAAATACCATCGCATATAAATAAAAAAGCTTTAAACGCAGATATAATCATGTTATTATGTTCAGAAGCCGCGAATTCTAGTATTAAGAAAAGGTTTGCGGAGCAAATGAAGAAGTAAGTAAATTTTTATAAACTAATTCTATTTTAATATATATTTTGGAAATATGTTATTTAATCAAGGGTACACTTTATTTAAAAGCAAAAAAGTACATGGATACCAACAAGAAATGAACTTTAAGGACGCAATTGAAACTGTTAGAATAAAAACTACATGTTGCCTTGTCCTACCCAAAACTGTTCGATTTCTTTATCAATACATGCATTGCGTATGAATATGTTCTAATAAATCTCTCGAATCGTTAATGTTCAATTTGCTCTGATTTTTTTATCTATACATGTTGTGAAAAGATCAAAAAATATAAGAATTATAATTATATATGTATAACATTTAAATATAGTCCATTAAAATGATTTATTTCAGTAAGCCGAACACATGGGAGTCTGGAATATCTGTACTAAGTTGGATGCAGGTGATGTAATTTCATTTAAAGAAATGTTTGATTTACAAGAAAGCATAATTATTTCTGGTTTTACGTCATTTATTTAAAATTAGTTGTTAGTTGACTAGAAAAAGTTAGTATTTAGATGATACCTTTGAATTTGTTAAAAGATATGCATTCTATATATATAATTATTGATTGATTTACTCGTGTTAATGCCAAAGAAGTCTAACATATATATGTAAATTATTCAAATTCGTGGTAATATTCAAATATTAAACAAGGATTAATACAAAAGTTGATATCTGATGAATACTAAGATAAATAAAGAATCGATACAAATGTTAATATAAAAAGAATAATGATTGGAATGTATAGCTTTGCTATTTCTTATTCCTATATTTTTGGAAGGCAATGTCGCAAATCTTTTATATTTTAAACCTACATTAGTTCAGCCAACAGAATTCCTAGTTTGAAATATCTAAGGTCTACGACGTACTAAAGATAAAAGGTTTAGAAACCCAGAGTTGGTGGCAAAGACTCAATTCCTTTCTTGTAGGAAAGAATTCAGACAATCATATCCCCGTGGAGATTTCTTCTTTCTGACTACAAAAGATCAGGTAACATGTCATGAAAAAAGAATACAATTTTAATTTTCATAGAAAATGTAAAGGGAAACATTATATATAATTGTTTTTGTGAATCATTATAGATAGAATTAATACAATAGTTAAAGTAACATCAAGTACATGATATGATATGTAAATTTTGATCCTTTTATCTTTTACTGTTATAATTAAGGATGACATGTCTGAAGAAGAACTCAATTACCACGGAATGTGCGTCTTGAAATATATAAGTAAAAAAAGTTTATTTATTTAATGATTTATAATAACTTTTAACAATCTCTTTAAAACATTGCTACCTTATTCTAAGGAATACGATAATTCAAATGAGAAGATCGAAGTATTAAGAGAAAATATTTGCATGCCGAAAAAAATACTTTTTAATGACAAATGTTGAAAAAAATATGATTTTTACAAACATAATTTTTAAATATTTAACAAAAGTTGCAAAAAAAAATTAAACAAAGTTAAAGTATAGTTTGATTAGATTTATGTATATTTTCATCGAATAATCCGTAATATAAAGATGAACGATATTTTTTCTCCTTAAAGGTTATGATTTAAAAACATGATCTAAAGACATTCATTTAATGAAATGATAAATGTTAAGACAGTAATTACGAATAATTTCGCGGCATTTTTTTTTTGTGAAATAAATGAGTGTAATGTTTTCCCTATGTCGCATGAATAAGTGATTGAAGGGCATGTAATTGTAATATGATCGCAGAACTTCTAATTACGTTGTACATTTATATTAATCAACATCTTAAAATTTAAGAGTACACTTTTTAATAAAAACGGCACTAATAGAAATGTTGAAAATATTCATGTAAATTTTTGGCTTCTTTGTAACTGAAACTCGCACAAATGTAACGTTTTAAGTATTGAATCAATTATTAAACTATTAGTAACACTTTTCTAATGATAAATGTTCCACATTTTGTAAGATTAAGGTATCAAGGAACTTTTGTATTTTACACATAGAAATTTTTGCAATGATGGTCACTGTAAATCTTGCTGACAAATAAATATGACAATGTATAGATCATCTGCATTTAATTCGTTGTTTAAAATATACATCAAGATTTATATCAATTGTAATAATATATTAAAATTAGGAACAAAAAAGTATTTTCCATAATTACTTGTAACCTGCCAAATATTCATAATTCATAATAGAGAAAAATATGTATCTGTACCCTTTGCAATGAACTCAACTAAAAAATAATAAAAAATTGCAAACTAATATTGTTCTAATATGTTGTTAATTTGACACGTTGTAGGAACTGGTGAAGTAAATAACTGGAGAGGATTAACTATTGGAAACGAAGAAATAAGGTAGATAGTAATATTAACTCTGGGAGAACCATTCATTTTTAATATTATTTGTTTTATTTAAATTTTTTAGTTGATTTAAAAGTTAGTTTACTATTTCTTTTTAAAATTCAAAGTGAGAACATAGAAATATGAATTTAGAAAGATATGATTGAATACCGCGTAAATTATCAATATTTGGCAATGGGTGGGGGTTGGGGGGTTGGGAAATATGTTGTACATTGCTTAATGTAGCCAAAAGACAGTTTACTCACTAAAATTTATTGTTAAAAACCGTTTTTGGTAGTGATTTTGTCAGTTATCAACACTTTTGATTAAATTCTAATATTTTCAACACCATTGCTTTGAAATAAATTACCCAGAAACTTAAATTGAAACAAAATTGCACTTTGCCTACCGAATTAGTATTTAAAAATATGACATGCTAAGAATGCTTAACATATAAAAGTGAAAATAACCAAATAAAAAGCCTTATTTACTTTAAAAACTTTAAAGAAAAGTGTATTTCAGAAGCAAACAAATGATAAAAAACATTCCACGTCATTCTAAGATTTTTTTAGAAAAGAGAATGGAACTTAAACAGTGTAATAATTAATATATAATAGACGCTGGCGAACAGAGGAAGGAAAAAGAGAACCTCTTCCTGGGAAATCCAAACTCTATCGGAAACAGAGAATAAGGTTTCCTGCTAAGAGCCGGAGGTATGAACGTTTATAAAGACGTTAACCCTATGAACATTGGGGGGGGGGGGGCTGTCCCCCTTGAGTTGTTTGTTAAAAACGGCGTGCACATTTAATTTTTTTACTTTTTAAAAATCCTTCCTTACACTGTAACCATTAAACTTTGATTTTTTTGGTGATCATGCCTTGAAAAGTCTGACTAGGGACATGTATCACACTCCCGTATCTAAATTGTTAATACCAAATTCATAGAAACCATTTTAGACAAATAAAGCAAAAACTGGATAGAATTAAGATAATTTATTTAAAAAAAGAATATGAAGTTGCGTATTTTTCGTCACTTAATTAATTTTATTAAAAATCTTACAATAATCATGATTCACAAAACTGGAACAAATGTCCAAAACTGTGAAAACATTAAAAACATTCAAAGAAATTAGTAATAAAGTTTTTTAAATTTTAATATGTTGGCAAAGAAACTTTGCAACTTAAAAGGAGTGACTGGCTATGAATGGTAGATAAAATGAATTTGCAGTATTGTGGGCAAATTCTTTATGATTAATTTGATTAATTGCAAAACTCGTAGGTTTGGGTGTATACGTTTTCAGATATTTTATTTTTGAAATTATTAATTAACAATAAAAAAATGCCATAAAATACTAGAATAAACAAAATATTTGATGAAAACAGGTTGAGAAAATAAAAAATTGACTGTTATCATTAAAAAAATAAATAATTTCATTAAAGTTTTAATTTCGTCATCTCTCAATATTCACACTGATTTGCTGTAAATTTGCTGGCAATTTTCTGAAATTTTTGTAAAAAACGACATTTGAGGAGTTAAAAAAAAATATGCGAACCAAATGATAGAAATTAATAAATTCATAATAATGATGAAAACGAAATAAATTAATTCTTACATTCATTTATTGATATTTTTTTCTAATTCAAATATGTTCCCAAACATCCAATTAGTACATTCTAAAATATTACTATATTATTTACCGTCGTTGTTTAATAATTTAAAAAAAGTAAGCTAAAAACATATCCACCGTCGATGACGATTTTGAACTAAGATTTTATGCTCAAACTCATTTTCATTAATTACAGATATTTAAAACGTTTTAAAAGTTAAATGATTCCTAAAACATTAGTCCACAATACTACATACTGAATTCAACTACCTTACATAGCCGACCACTCCCTTTAATGAGAAAAACGAGAAGCAAAAATTATTAAATTTATACATAGTAATTTATAATTAAGTGATATTTTACACAAAACCACAACCCAATAATTGGCACTCCAATACTACTAAAATTGATAAATGGGAATTGTAAAGGGAGGAAGAAATATCCTTTTTTAAAAAAAAATAGTCTAAGCATATGTATTAAATATTTCCAAATTTTTATTAGGGAAATGTATGCTAAACCTTTATCTAAGAAAGAGAGGGAAATTAGGGATCAAAGATTCCAAGAGCAAGGATATCAGAAGGTATATCTATTGATAAGAACTGAGTGAATATTGAAGTATAAAGATGTATATGCTTAACTATAATAAAGGTATAGGACAAAAGACTTTGAGTGACTGACTTAAATGCATAGAATATGACGTTGGTAATAAGATAAGATCATATTAAAAATAATAGTGTAACAAAAGCATAAAAATGCAATGAACAATATAATATTTAGTTTATTATATTTTTTATTATAATTAAGGAACAGTCTTATTTTAGAGGAAGCCAAAGATTACCTCAATATTTAAAATTTTTTAATTAATCATATTGCACGAACATAGATTTTCAATTTTACCATATTTTTGTTTTATTTAAATATTATTAAAAACATGTCTCAATGCATACATCAACAAAACAAATTAGGAAGAAATAATTTATGATATTTAAACCAAAATATACGAAGAAGAGGCATATCAAAAATTCATACTTAAAAATTGTTTAAATTTACGGGATTACAAAAACTTTGAGGATCAACATTTAGAAATAAAAAATAAATTTACAGTTGGTGTAAGTAATGAGAGGCTGCCCCGCAAAAATAAGCTCAATACTTCAAGCATCTCTAATTAAATTTCAAACCACACATTTTTATCAACTTTTTTATTTCAGCTTTTATGGCTTAACCTACGATAAAATCAATACATATATATTTTCATATTACACTCCGCAATAGTTTAGAAATCCTTTAAATCCACAAATTTAAAGTTAATTATTGTATTAACTTGTAACCATCAAATTAAATCATATAAATGAAAATAAATGGAATTCGTCCTGTAATAAACAACATTTGAGCCACCAAACACTTCCCTGTGTAAATTGAAATAAATTAATTCTTACACTAAAAGATAAAAGTAAATTAAACTTAATAATACTAAAGTACAGGTCATTATTTCACTCTCATGTAATTATCTTATAGAAATGTTAAATAATAAATACTAGAAATTCACTGCGCTTCGCACCCATCTTCTATTTAAATTGTGAACATGTTCTTTTTGTTTACATTTGAAAACAAAGAAGAAATTAATTTTAAGGATTTTTCAAAATAAAAATCGCTGATTCTTAAGAATTAAAATTTTTTTTTTACAAAATTAAAAACACAGTTTTTAAAATTTTTATCTTTCATTCCCTGTGGTCACGTTATGTCCCACACATAATTTGGGCACAATCGGTTCAACCATTTTTACAAGCCTAATTTATATATACATTCCCACTTTTAGAAAAGTTTTTCTATATATGTAATTATATATATATATTTCATTTTTTAACTTTACATTTAATTAAAAAATAATTAAACAAAACATAATGTTTCACGTTGATCATGTCGATCCTCAGTTGCCCTTCTGATTGTATTCTTATCATTACAGGTACTCCACCCAGCTCTGATGATAGGACAAGAAATTGAACCTGCAGTTTCTCCAGTAAAGGAAATGGCAAAATCTTCGAATCCAATGGAGAGAAAAGTGTGGGGAGACCCCACAACCTTTAATTGGTCTATAAAACTGTAAATGCAAGAATCTCCCGAACGTGAATCCTTGAACCTTGATTAAGTTTTCTAGATCGAGATTTATCCCGGAGAAATCTAATAAAGAATCCGTCCGACCAAATACGATATTAGTTCTGTAATTGGCCCATTTCACACAGATACCTAGGAGATAGCTGTTAAATCAACTTTAAAATGAACACGTGTAAATTTCCAAAGAAATTTTAATTTTGTAATTAAAAAATAGTCAAATATATATGTTAACATGATATTGTTTTTAACGCTCTGAGAATATAAAATACATAAATTTATAGTTTTGAATGAATGAGATCCATCTTTAACATTTGTTTCCTGATGAGATGAACAATCAAACCCAACCTATATCAAATTCATAACATTCGTATCAATCCCTAACATTTGTATCCTGATGAGATAAACAATCAAACCCAACCTATATCAAATTCATAACATTCGTATCCATCTTTAACATTTGTATCCTGATGAGATAAACAATCAAACCCAACCTATATCAAATTCATAACATTCGTATCCATCTTTAACATTTGTATCCAGATGAGATAAACAATCAAACCCAACCTATATCAAATTCATAACATTCGTATCCATCTTTAACATTTGTATCCAGATGAGATAAGCATTAACATTAACATTCGTATCAAAAATCCAATCATTAACTTTCATTTACAGATAGGATAACATTAACATTCGTATCAAAAATGCAACCTGTATCACAGTCATAATATCAATCATTAACATAACATTAACATTCGTATCAAAAATGCAACCTGTATCACAGTCATAATATCAACCATTAACACTATATCCAAATAAATATCAATCATTAACATTCGTATTAAATTAAAATCAAATATTAACATTCGTATCAAATATCCAACCTTTTTTGTATCAGATTCATAACCCGTACTATCAATCTTCAATTATATAGAAGCAAGCTGTCAGGGCAAGCTGTCATAGAGAGAGAGAATTAAAGAAATATTATCTGGTATTCGCGCATTCTTAGGATTTTTTTCTATCCCCCCCTCCTGCAACCTTCACCCCACGCCTAATTTCTACTCTGAATTTTTGCGGATTTTTTGTTATGTCTCATTCAATTTTTTTATGAATCTCTTATAAAATTTTGAAAAACAATATAACAAGCATTTTCCCAATAGTTTTTCAAACATTTAATTTTTTTTTATTTGGTTCCACGTTTTTTTAATGTTTCAAAAATATGTTTGATTTTTGATCACATTTTATTTTATTTATGCCTAACAAATCAAAAATGTTGTAAATAAATTTCAAAACATGGATAATCCCATTTTTTACTCACCATGTATGTTTGCACCCATGGATGACGTAAAGACTTCATGTTTCGTCTCTAACTTTTTGATCTAGCAGAATCCATAGTTTGGAATATCAAAATTCTAAGGTTTACTGCAATATCAGATTACAATGATATATGGATTCCAAAATTTAAGTTTAATTCTAGATTTCAGTTCCTTTGGTATATTAAAAAATTGACCGAAAAAATAGCATGTTGTCCAGTTTTTTGGCTATCGCATTTTCGTCATGCGTTTTAATGAAATCAACCGGGCAGAGGCTTTCAAAGGGATAGTAATAATTACGCTCTATCTAAAAGAATGCCCTGAATGATTATGAGAATAAAATAAATGTTTTTCTTCATTTATGTAGAATCTAGATTGTAGACCTAGCTGCATGAAAAGTTAGTTGATATTTTGTTTATTTATCTTTTCATATTCTGAACAATCGTCATAATTCACACTGATCAAAAGCTCTCAGGCAAAATTTAACTTTTCTTAAAACGCATGCTAAAAACAAGTGCTTTAGAAATGGACGTGTTTGCAGGACAAAAAATAGTATAATGTGAGTTTGTGATGAAAATCAAAACACAAGGCGTTACGATGTTTCAAAGTCGAATTCGATCCGGTCTTAAAAATTGGTGCAACTTTTTATACAGTTAAACCCTAAATAAACCATTTATTGAAAGAATTCATAAAGTATCGTATTCTTCACTTTCTGTTAATTTAATGTTGCAGATATTTAGTTTTTAATAAAATGATTATATGAAGCTTTTTAAAACTGTTCACGCATATACATGACTATTTATTTATTTTCGCTATTTTTCTATATATGTAAATATATATATATATATTTCATTTTTTAACTTTACATTTAATTAAAAAATAATTATACAAAACATAATGTTTCACGTTGATCATGTCGATCCTCAATTGTCATTCTGATTGTATTCTTAACATTTCAGGTACTCCACCCATCTCTGAGGAAAGGAGAAGAAATTCAACCTCCAGTTTCTCCAGTAAAGGAGGTGGAGAAGTGTTTTTTAATTCAAATGGAGAGAAAGGTGTGGGGAGACCCCACAACCTTTAATTGGTCAATAAAACTGTAATTGTCCATTTGGTGCAGTCCAGGGAAGGTTTATGGATGAACTAGTTCTCCTGTATCTAATGGATATATTACTAGTCCTCCTATATCTACAGGATATGTTACTGGTTCTTCTGTATCTATAGGATATTTTACTGGTTCTCCTATATCTACAGGATATGTTAATACTTCTCCAGTATCTACAGGATATCTTACTGGTTCTCCTATATCTACAGAATATGTAACTGGTTCTCCTGTATCTACAGGATATGTTAACCAGTTCTCCTAGTTCGACAGGATATGTTACTAATTCTTTAATGCAAAAACATCCGAATTGGCCCCTATGGGTACAAAATTATTTGAGAAACCAAAAGAAAACAGTATTTAATTTTGTGAACTTGTACAATTAAAGTACGATATATTTAAACAGCTTAATAAAGAAAACTATGTGCAATTAATGTGTGCCGTGTTGTGTATCTGAAATATGTCAATAATACAAATGAAAATCGCTATGTATATATATTCATTTTGTTCGCTACAGCAGTTCATTTCATAAATAATATAACAACATTTTTGAACAGCTTAGAATGTTTTACATTCTGAAGTGTCGGTTATCATTTTAACTGTATTGTAAAAGTAGTATAATTATTACCACAGAACCTTTGCTCCGCCACAGACCAATTAAAAATGTGTATCAGATTCTTACATTACTGAACAAATATATAATGGAATTGATTTTGTTTCATTAAGCGGTCACCAAAAACTTAATTAGCAATCTCTTTCTAAAGGAAAACTTTATATTCAGTAATAATTATAAATAATTTAAATCAAAATTATGCATCAATCATTTCTTTATTCATTCAAAACTATAAATTTATGTATTCTGTATTCTAGGAGCGTTAAAAAAAATATAATGTTAACATATATATTTGACTATTTTATAATTACAAAATTAAAATTTCTTTGAAAAATTGCACGTGTTCAGTTTAAAGTTGATTTAACAACTATCCCGTGAAGTTATCTGTGTAAACTGGGCCAATTACAGAACTAATATCGTATTTGGTCGGACGGATTCTTTTTAGATTTCTCCGGGATAAACCTATTTTAGAAAACTTAATCAAGGTTAAAAGCTTCACGTTGATTATAAATTAAATGAAAATATTGACGAATTTACATTTAATGCCACAATAATGACAGTTTATGCATAATTTATACAAATTTGTGCTTCTGAATCATAATGGTTACATAGTGCAAAGGATGACATCAGAATAACTCTTAATTCTCTAAGATTCAATAGTGTAAACCCCAGATAGGTGCAGTAGAATAAGACAAAAATAAGAATGCTAATTACTTTAAGCAAATAAGATTGGAGCTAAAATCAAAGTTTGTCTATAATCGGGTTTGTATTTTCATTTGTTAATGATGATTTCAACCTCAAATGTGTTTTTAAAACTAATTTGATTTTAAAACCCCTAAATGTTTAAGCAAATTAAAAAATAAAAACGTTACAAGTGATGAAGAGAAACATTTATAATATTTATCTAGTTTAAAACTGATGAGAGATCTAAAATATAACTAGCAGAATAAATGCGATAAAAAAATAAATGCAGAACTAAACTACAGTAAATACTTAATACAACATAGAGCTAAGAATAATAATATTTTTCTGTCAGATAAAGGAAGAAAAATTACAGGCTTCAACAAATGGTANGTTTAAAACTGATGAGAGATCTAAAATATAACTAGCAGAATAAATGCGGTAAAAATAAATGCAGAACTAAACTACAGTAAATACTTAATACAACATAGAGCTAAGAATAATAATATTTTTCTGTCAGATAAAGGAAGAAAAATTACAGGCTTCAACAAATGGTAAATGCGAGAAAGAAGAACTCTAAAAACTAACAAAATATTATCTTAATCGCTGGGACTCTGTTTGATTGTCGAATGCAAATAGTAATTATAAAATTGTATACAACCTTTGATATTCAAATTCATATAAATATATTGATTTATAATCACGGGATTAAAAAAATGAAATGTAAAATAAAAGCGTAAGACGGATTCCAATACTTTTAGTTAGGGATGATTGTTCCTAAATATTTCTCACTAAAACGTGTGGAACATCTAGTAGTACATCCCAGCCCCATAGGGAGATGTATTATTTTAATATTTACAAAATTTATTAATTTACGAGTTTAAGAATCTTGAAAGAAATTGTTCCATTATATATATTTGGAATTTTCACGTAAAATGCGAGAAACGACACAGCGACTTGATAAGCCCCCATTTTTTGTAAATCAAATTTAACCGAAAATATATTTTCACATCCCTCGAAGTGGCAAATGTATGTTTTCTTGGTAGGTAGCTCCGCTGCTATGCGATCCTTGAAGTGAAAACGGGCAAGATGGTCCTAAATTTTAATTTAAATAAGTTAAAATTTTTGTAATATTGGATTGTTAGTTAGACACAAATTTTGAAACAATGATCGAAATTATTATTATTTCTCACAATAAGATTCGTCGTCCAACAATCCTGAATATAGTAAGAAAAACATTCGTCTATAAATAAACAATTGTTCTTTGCAGGTCCTCTGTTAGTCAGTACTCATTATTCAGAGTAGTGTAAACATGGAGAGGGGCAAGGTTATAATGCAAGGAAAGTTAATTGCAGTAGCGTATACTCTGCATAAATATTGAAACAAGTTCTCACTTGGAGAATTTGTAAACAAGAAAAGATGCATAAGTGTTCGTTTAGTATCCGAGAAGGATAAAAGCATTAAATTTTGATAATTTGGTAATTAACATAAAAGTTTCTTATGACCCACCCTCCACTAAGCATTCGGTCTGCCTCGTACTGTACACAACTTCTGAGATTTATTCTGTACCGTCATGACAATTGAAACAAAAACTTTGTACCGGCACGACTTTCATTACTAAACTTAGGTACAGGTGACAACAACGTCGTTCTCAGCATACAATTAGTCTAGATTTGATTTGAAAATAAGTAGATTTTGTATCATTGATAAACTCTAGTCATGTTAAATAATGAAAACCATTAGTAGTTTCATGCACAACGCGTCTATTAATTTCTTTAGTAAATATTTTTTCGTTCAACATGTCCGGCCGTTTTACAACATTAATAAAGCTGGAATGAACATTTTACTGATGGGGTAAACTAAATAATAATAGAAAATATATGACATACGCTCCGTTCACTCTCTCATTAGGAATCTTAGCGTACTCTCTAATAAAGCATATATTTATCATAAAATATTACTAATACAATAGAAACATCAGTAGAGTTAAAATCATNATATATCCGACCCAACCCTGATCCATCCTTCATCAACTTGATATATCCGACCCAACCCTGATCCATCCTTCATCATTTTGATATATCTGACCCAACCCTGATCCATCCTTCATCAACTTGATATATCCGACCCAACCATGATCCATGAATTTAAAACTTGATTTTTTGTTTCTTAAAGGGAGTGTTCGCGAAAAATGAAAGGGGGTATAGGGTTAATGCGATAAAAAAGCGCTTTTGATTGATACTAATCTTACTTCTATCTACAAGGAGAAAATTGATAAAAACGACTAATACCGAAGAACGTAGTGTCCATACAAATTCAGAAAGATGCAACATTCAACTGGGATCGTTAACAAATCAATTTAATTCCAAACAAATCATTCAGATATTACAAACAATAGTCATCGATTATTTTTCGACGCATTCGAAATAGTTGATATTTCATAATATTTTGTATTTTTCATGATCTGAGAGTTACTTTTGAAAACATTTATTCCTGTTTCGAGGATTTTTAATAATGAAGACGACATTTTCATTTTTTCCAGTAATGTTCGAAAATCCAGCGCTAGCGACATATTAGTTTAAAAAACAAAATCAAAAATATAATGAAATATGAACTATAATATACGAATGCGTCGAAAATTAATCGATGACTACTGTTTGTAATATCTGATGGATTTGTTTGGAATTAAATTGATTTGTTTACGATCCGAGTTGAATGTTGCATCTTTCCGAATTTGTATGGACACTATGTTATTCGGTGTGAGTCGTTAAAACAATTATCTCCTTATAGACGCAACAGATGGAAGTTATAAGATTAGTAGCGACCAAAAGCGCTTTTTTATCGCATTAAGCCTATACCCCCTTTCAGTTTTCGCGAAAACTCCCTTAAATATGGTTTATACGTGCGGGAAACGACCGTTTTGGAGGAGCGGGGGGGGGGGATGAACAATTAAAAATATATTGCAAGATTCCTCAACCGGCAAAATAATCACATATATGCATTTCAAGGTTTCCCTGACAAGGAATATTAATTGTTAATTATTCACAGAGAACAGCTGAAAACTGTTATAAGCCATGGCAGTGATGAGTTTTCTTGCTCCGTACTCTTTACTATGCTAACCGTATTTAACCCTAAAAAGGCTGGGGGGCTATGAGGGCTTACCCCAACTCCCCTGGGTCAGAGATATCTTTTTTACAGGTTTTTTTTAGGCACCAACAGTTGCTGTGCCCACACCCCCTTAAAATACAAATTTTTAAAGCCCCCCCCCCATAATTCCTGAATGTACGCCCATCCAAGGGAGGGGATGGTAATATCCAGGAAGGGGATCGTTATATACAATGAAAGGATGGTATATCAATGTTTATGCGTTACCTTAAAATAGTGGCCCTATATGGCACACACTTCCACATTGCCAATACCTCATCTCCCACTTGAAACTCCTCCTGAATACATTTTCGTTTACTATTAGAATGTTGTACATATTAATTCAAATGATAAAATGATAATAAAAGTTATTCAAGGAATTTACCCAGCTTAAATGCCAGTTCAATTGAATGTCAACTATTTATAATAAAAAATGAAATATATAAACACACAAATATAAAGGCGGTCGGTCCTAGTGAACGATTTTGTGGTAATTTCCTAGAGAACGATTTTAAATTTTATTGGGCTGTTGTTACTGAAAAAAACATCAAATTGTGTGTATAGAAAGGGACCGTCCCTTTGCGCTCAAATTCTGAACGAAAAATCGGCTTTTTCTCCGGCCACAGATGTCTTTAAAAAGTAAGACTATTACCGATGAATAGCTGATAGGCTGTTTAGTTTACCCTGAAATTACCCAAATAAGTGAACGGTCCCTTTAAAGCGTGATGTTTATTAACTATTTGTTCTTGAAATTTTCATCAATCATTTCTTTACAAACATAATGGGGATAGTGAGAGCCAGCACTGTGGAATGAATCTCGTAATTTATCCTTATTTTCCTTCAGAAATGTCGCTTTTAATTCTGTAGATATTATTTGTTTCAACAGATATAATTTGTAAATGTTCATAGAGAAGGAACCAAATTTATTGAACCTAAACTGCCTACTGCCGCCTCGCTGGTTCAAATTTGAATCACCAATTCAAATATTTCCTTAATCTTTGACTTTGAACCGACAGTTTGTAGTTAAGCGACGCAGCTCAAATTCATTCAGGGCACATTTTCAGTAACAATTCAATTACAAATTACAATCCTTTTGACATTTCATAATAAAGGCAAAAAACTGTTTTCTTCTTCACACTTCGGTTTGTATCCAAACATATAGGGTAAGTATTGCTATGGATGTTATGCCCGACTTCTCTCATATCTTTTAAAAACCTCGCCTGATTATACTTTTCCAGGTCGGGTAAGGTTAGGATAGATAGATAGTCATGCGAGGTTTTTAAGAAATTTAAGGGGGGGGGTACGAATCACTTCGCTTAGATTTTACCAAATTTGATGGTCTTGAAAGTCTCTGGGTTTTTTTTAACAAAGTAGAGCTTAAAAATGGCCTTGATTTGTCCAATTCCTGTTCACACCAACATCATTTTGTTCAGTTAATGGTTTAAAATTAATCAATGATTTCAATCTTCATTTCATGAACCAATAAAAATACCGTTAACAATCCCTTTAGTTTAGATAAACTTGGCATTTGTTTAAAATGTTGAAAGATGAAAATATTTTCTTTGCTGAGAGATATTTAAACAAACAGCGTTATCATCTTAAAAGAGGAAAAAGTCATGTGACACTGTTCGACACAAAACTTGAGACTTCAATCAACTTTTAGAAAATTGGAAATTACAGAAATATATTATATTATTTAAAGGGATTGTAAGCGTAAATTTAAGTAAACCTCCAATCTCTATTCAAAGATGACAACGTACAATGCAAAACGCGGTATTCTAACAAGGGTTTTAAGGATTATTTTCAATTAAAGGGATTGTAAGCGTAAATTTAAGTAACCCTCCGATCTCTATTCAAAGATGACAATGTACAATTTACAACGGTACCCTCATCAGGTTTTTAAGGATTATTTTCATTTGTGGTTTCTCCACAAAAGTAACATGCGCACTTCTACTGTAGGAAAACGTATAGGAATTATCAAAATTAAACACTTTTAATTCTACAAAAATGACAATATCATTCGCATTATTGATCAGATAAAAGTTTCTATGGTATCATTGTAAATCGAGTGTTGCCATCTTTTGCACGGAGGGTCACCTGAAATTACGCGTATAGTCCCTTTAAGTATAGTGGATTGGAAGCTAAGAGGTTCTGCTTAATCTCTTATCTTACCAGCAGTCGGTAGAAAAAAACTGGCAGATTATATGGGATCCTGTTTTTGAAACTATAGAACTTTAAACAAAACTATAAAAAATTGTGATTTTTTAGTATCCTGTGACTGAATTTAAAAAAAATAAAGAGAACCGCCTTTGAATCGGTGATTCAGGATTTGAACAGGGGGTCGGTTATTTAGCAACCTAGCTCAAATTCATTAAGTTTAGTCCCTGGCATCGTTTGTTTAGATAAATGCTTGGTGAACTTAAAAAGAGGGAAGCTAGATAATCCCTCGGATTTGTTCAATTACAATATTACCTTAAACGGGGAGTTATTTTCTTGTGAATCATTGATGTCTATGAGGATAATCAAAGAACATTTAAATAATTTTATATGGCCCTCCATTTACAAAGCTACATGTCAGATTCACAACGACAACGTTTAAACTTTAATCTGAGTAAGAATGAGAAAGATATCATCGTCTGGAAAAAACGTGCTAAATTTCTTACTGAATCTCATGCATAAGTACAACATTCAATTAAAAACCAATGAATTAGCAGATCAAATAGAATAAAAGAATATCGCGACATTTTTGACTAGACAAAAAGGTTAAAACGTTATCGTTGTCAAAAGGGCAAAACTTTTAAATAAAAGCTAAAATAAAATTGAGTTATTATTACCTTAAAAGCTAGGATACTTTTAGAACGGAATAAAAACTACCTTTTCTGCAGCATCAGTAGCTAAAGCATCTTCGGCAGCTGCAGCATCTTCAGTAATTGCAGTAGCATCCTTTACATCTTCCAATGCTTCTGTGTCAGCTTTAATCTCACTTGCCACAAGATTATGGATTTCTTCCACAACATCATTCTCCAGGACAGGTTGAATAATCTCTTCAGCTATCACCTCTCCAGCATCAACGGTGAGAACAAGAGCATCTGTCACATCAGCAGCAAGCTCCTTTACAAAGAGCTAGGCATCGTTTCGTCAACAAATACAAATTTTGTAAACAAATGAAGAAAATCTAGAAATTAACGAATCATTAAAAATTTTAAAATCGTTAGTTGATGAGCGATTTCACTTTGGACTAACGTGAATTCAAATTAACTATGACACATTATATAAACGAAAATCAAAAAGAACGAACAAAAAATTAACGAACGAAATGAACCGTCAGCGAACCATGAATAAACAAATTGTAAAAATGTCGAGAACGTTCTCATCTCTACCTCTACACCAGCAGCCTCAGCTTCATCCTCAAGAACTTCTCCAGCTTTAACAGTATAGCAGACAGAGTCAGGCACAGGTTCCTAATTAAAGGGACTGTAAGCGTAATTTTAAGTGAGCTTTCATGCAAAGATGGCAGTGCCCGATTCACAACGATACCCTTAAGAACTTTGTCTGATTATGTTTGAATTAGATAGCATTGATTATAATTTTAAAAACTGATTATGTTTGAATTAGATAGCATTGATTATAATTTTAAAAACTGATTATATTTGAATTAGATAGCATTGATTATAATTTTAAAAACTGATTATGTTTGAATTAGATAGCATTGATTATAATTTTAAAAACTGATTATATTCAATCAATTGTGATTTCTCTACTAAAAAAGAAAACTGCAGGAAAATATATAATAATTACTAGAAATAAATACATTTAAACCTAAAAAAGCGAGAATATATTCCACATTATTGATTTGATAAAGGTATCAAGGGTACCGTTGTGAATCGGGCATTGCCATCTTTGCATGGAGGAAAACTTGAAGCTAAGCTTACAGTGAACAGGCGGTTTAAGTTAATTCCTTAATGAATGTTTTTTATACTGAACTCACGAATATCTTGTTAGTGATATAAAATTTGTGAGATATCACCAACAGTCTGCTCATAATTTCGAACAAAATGTTCACCATTTCGAAATGCTTTCAGTAGTTTTGTATTATACGAACAAATTGATTGTTCTTTTTTGAGTTTAATGTTAAAAATATATTTACCTCGTATTGATCAACTACAATATTGACCTCAGATTGTACATCAAGGGTAGTAGAACCTCCACTCTCCTTCCTGAGGTTAGAATTAATAAATAACAAGAAGTAGTTGAACTAGGTATGATTAGTAAATCTACAGATAGGGTTGGGAGTTACCTTTTAAACCGACAAAAACTATCGTTTTTAGTTCGGGTTTGGATTTTTCAAAACAATTTGTTTAAAACGATCGTTTCATTTCTGGCCTTTCCTCGTCGTTTATAAAACGATCAGTTCGTGTTTCAGAAAAGTGAAAATGGCCCCATCCCTATTTTTACTTTATACAATTTTAGCTATCCGTACACATTTTACTTTTCATTAATCTCTAATCAAAGTTGAGTAACTTTTAATTAAAGTTTCAATCAATCATTAATGAATTAATTTTCAAGTTCTTATCTCATTAATGATTTTTATCCATAGGTATAAGTATGACGTAACTAAAACTTATTAAAAAGCGAGCTAATTTCGTAATTGGTTATCTTCTGCAAATAACTAAAGTCGTTTTCAATGGCGACCAAAATTATGGAATTTCTGATTCAATTCATAAATAAATAAAGTAGATGATAAAAGCAGAAATTTTAAAATTGAAGTTTGAAGAAAAAGCCAAATCTTATCTTGCATTTACAAATTTTCTTTTAAATATTCGCCATGGCTTTTGCACTTGTTTTTTATAATTGGAAATGTTTATGACCCAAATTTAGAAATAAATCAGTCAAAAGGAATTGAGTCTCTGTCACAAATTCCTGCATCTCTGCAATAAAATGTAGTAGGCGTTAGATATTTCAAACTATGAATTCTGTTAGAGCAAATCTAAGCTTAAAATATCAAAGATTTACACCATCAAAAATATACAAAAATATTGGGATTGGAAAATCAGAGTTTGTGGCAAAAACTCAGTTCCTTTTCACTCACTCTAGGAAATACATCAAAGTCAACAAAATTTAAAGAATGATGCTACTAAGTTAAATTTGGATCCGGTGCTATAAAAAATTTTATTAGATGAAAATTTGAATTGTAAAGGAGAACCCAACCTGTCCTGTTCAACAGCTTCCATCTTCTCAATATAACTCTGTGTTTCCTCCAGGATTTTATGCTCGGCCATTTTTTCTAATAAGCATTTCAAAAACATTTAAAGGGACAGACTGGCCATTTAAGGTAGTTGAACTGAGTATGCAGTATTGTGGAAAGCTTCTTTAGGATTCATTTGAACTTTTTAAAGATCTGTAAATCCTGAGTTTGAGCGCAAATTCTACGTTCAAAACTCCTGGTTTGGGGGTGGATACGTTTTCAGAAGCTTTCCACTACACTGCATACTCAGTTCAACTACCTTACATTAAATGTAAAAATATTGTCTATAAATTGATACAAAATGAGACCATCTATACATATACATATACATGGCTTTGGAACTAACAAAGGATGAGACTGAAAAGACGACTTGAAAGTTTTTAAATTTGACAATTCCGTGGTTAAATTAAATCTTCTGTCTTGAATATAATCTTTTTACGGGTAATGATTTAGCAAAGAAAAAAAACAAGTTTTTAGTTGCAGGGAATAATATATATAAGTGAACAGTGTCCGAATTTAATGAATGTAAGCCGCCTCTCAAATCTCCCAAAAACCTGTTTCAAGTGAGCGCCGGCTTAAATCCTGAAAAATTTTATACAATTTTAAGCGGAACCAACCACATTTGAGCCATGGCTTAAATTTAAGCAGCGGCTCAAATTCTTTAAATTCGGCCTTAAATAACGTACTTTGGTTTCTCTGAAATTCTTAATTCTCATCCTTTTGTGGGAAACTCTGTATAAAAGTCAACACACTCAACTGAAAATTGTTACACCAAACAAAGAACATTCCCGTGGTTTTACCAAGTTCCCAAATAAAAATTTAAGGCAAATCGTAAAAGCTATGATCATGAGCTATGATCGGACAAACAAATAAACAAATAGGCATAGAGAATTATTCGTTATATATCTAGAAGCAGTAACCTTTGTTTGTCTGTCTGATAAAATCTGATAAAATACATCAAAAACGCGCTTTTGCATTTGCTGATAAAAATACATTAAAAACGCTCTTCTATACTTGCTGATAAAATATATAAAATTCTCTTTTACACTTACTGATAAAATACATCAAAAACGCGCTTTTGCATTTGCTGATAAAAATACATTAAAAACGCTCGTTGCTGATAAAATACATTATGTGCACTTGATGATAAAAATTCATTAAAAACGCTTTTCTGTACTTGCTGATAAAAAAAATAAACTAAAAACCGCTCTTCTGCACTTACGGATGTGTTATTGCTTGAGAATTGATTACTAATAGTTCAATTAAACATCTTCCAGGCGCATTATCTCTAAATTATTTACAGGGATTCATAATTACCTATGTATTTATTCCAAAAAATATTTTAATTCTTCAATCTGAAAAGTTTCAAATTTTTATGAACATTTTTTTTTTGTGTGAAAGTAATCCACCCCGAAGCTTAAAAAAAATCTTATAAGATAAGAAAATAGTGATTAAGGTTTCAAAAAAAGAAAAGATCAAACGTAAAAATTGTGGAAATAATGATTCCACATTATATAGGAGGGGATAATTTTAACTTTGATCACATTGACCTTCAAGGGAGTACGCCGTGCAGTGAGACCATTAAAACTGGTGAATAGAAAGACGACATTAAAGCATCAAGTATTTGATGTTGCTTTAAAGCAAATAGTTTTACCGGCACTATTTCCGCAAAGTAATTTTGCGTCGATTTTTGCACAGACGCCATCAAAGGGAATTTGCACAATTTTAGTTTTTCTTGAAGTAATTTTGGTTTTGAAAATTTTGCAAATAGTTTTGCATATTTGTATTCGCTGGGCCAAAGGCTTTCAAAAAAAGTATAATTTCAAATAGTTCGCATACTTTTTGCACTAAATATCTAAAATTTTACTAATTTGCTATTTTTTTTACAGATTATTAATGTGAAGCCCAAGGCTTTCCAAACATGTATCACATGTTATATATTTGTATCACAGTAAGGAAATAGAGAGGGGGGTCACTGTGACTGCCTGTGATCCCCCCCCCCCCACAGTCTATTTTGGGTAAACTAGACGTCACTTGGAATATGGTTATTGGTTAATCAGTCAAAATTGTGTATTTCTTTATGAAAATACAGAGGGAGGGGGGGGGGCGGGTAAAATTGTTTAGAGGTGCGCTTTTTCTTTAGAATAGATATATATGAAACTAAGAAAAATCAAAAATATTTTCTTTTTTTGCCCTGTGTTTCGCCTGCCACCTGAAAAACGTGATTTTTTGCCCATTATTGGCCTTTTTTATTTGAGTGCTAACACTTTTGCTGAATCCTTTGTCGATTTTTCGCTACGCACTTACACCTCAAGACCATCACCTGGCAACATAAAATATTGTTATTTTCACTTTTTCAGGTTTCTGTATGGTATAATGTTTCCTGGTTTCTGTATAGTATAATGATTTCTGGTTTCTGTATGGTATAATGTTTTCTGGTTTCTGTATGGTATAATGTTTTCTGGTTTCTGTATGGAATAATGTTTTCTGGTTTTCTGTATGGAATAATGTTTTCTGGTTTCTGTATGGTATAATGTTTTCTGGCTTCTGTATGGTATAATGTTTTCTGGTTTCTGTATGTTATAATGTTTTCTGGTTTCTGTATGGAATAAAGTTTTTTGGTTTTTGTATGGTATAATATTTTCTGATTTCTGTATGGTATAATGTTTTCTGGTTTCTGTATGGTATAATGTTTTCTGGTTTCTGTATTGTATAATGTTTTCTGGTTTTTGTATGGTATAATGTTTTCTGGTTTCTGTATGGAATAATGTTTTCTGGTTTCTGTATGTTATAATGTTTTCTGGTTTCTGTATGGTATAATGTTTTCTGGTTTCTGTATGGAATAATTTTTTCTGGTTTCTGTATGGTATAATGTTTTCTGATTCTGCAGCTAGGACAGGCTAGGGGGCCGAGCGCTGCGGCTAGGACAGGTTAGGGGGCCATATAGCATTTATTAAACCATGTGCTAGTAGGTCGGATCAAGGGCGTTCGAGGGAGGGCTGAGACACGGCCCCCCCCCTAGGCGTGCGGTGGGCACCAATGGGGGGGGGGGCTCTTTAAATATTACGTCTTTTACATTTCTCTACCTCAGGCAATCTACATTATACATTGCATTGCATTGTACTCACCCAAACTAAAATAAAGAGATTTTTTGTCCCCAGGACATGATCGGGTTGTTACGATCAAATCTTGGAATTTTTCTATTGCGTAAGTTTGGTGTTGTTTGGGTTTTTATATTGATCTACCAGGGGTTGTAATCTGGCAGCACATTCATCCATCCACGCTTCATTCATTCTGAGAAGAGGGTCAAGATTTAAGACTTAAAAGAATAATGACTGGTGNTACCACAAATTCTACACTTCTATTCAGATGTTTTTGAAACCACAGGTTTGTGTGGAGTACGGGAATCGAACCCGTGAACACCAGTCTGGACACCAATCCAGTTACTGGCTGTGGATAAGTGTTATTAACTTCAGTGATCTAATGAGAACTGGTGTCACACACATTCCACCCCACCCAAACTAAAAGATTAAGAAAAGATCAAAATATATTCTGATTCACAACAATACCCTTCAAAGCTTTGATCAAGTATTGCATTAAATATCCATGTTTCCCATTTCTAAAACTGATTATTTCTATTTGTGGTTTCTCTACAAAAATGACTCGCTCATTTCTTGCTTCAGAAACGATGGAGAATTGAAGGTTTCAAAGTTCTATCGGACATGTCACTCTATAAATGGAGGGTCACTTGAAATTGCGCATGTATTCCATTTAAGTATAATTACATCGTATAAAAAATACCTTAAAATCTCACTTTTTCCCTTAACTAAAAAAGTTTCATTAAAAAAGCTGTAATCAATAATACCTTCAGTGTAAATATATATTTGATTTCATAATTTATAAATAATATGTATCTATCCTATGAAAATATAGATATATTCTTAGAAACGTTTCCATCTCTATTTTTCATCCCTTGAAGCTTACACCACAGTATTAAGAGGGATTGTTTGGGGGGGAGGGGGGCGCTTGGCGCCCCCCCCCCTCCTGTAGTTTGTTTGTCCTAGCAATCTCATTTTTGACACTATCACCGTGAAATTTTGTGACTTTTAATGAATAGTAATTGGTAATGGTAATAGGGTTGGGTACAGCGCGGAAAAAAGTCCGTTTTTTTTGGAAAAAAAATCTAAAATTGTGACTAAAGCTACATATCAAAAACTATATTTCTGAAAAGCCCTTGAAAAATGGATATAGCACCCAAACTATTAAAGTTATCGGTCTAATTTTTTTCAATGAGCTGGCCTTGGCAAATTGGGCTATGCACATGCATTTCAACCCTATACCTATTCTTTAAGGGCAAGGCCTTTTCTAGGGGGGGGGGATGCCAAACGCCCCCCTAGGCTATACATAGATTCAGACCCCCTAGCCTTTACAGGGTTAAGAAAATTACATAAATAATTTATTAACACGTTTGCAATATGGAAGTGTGTATATGGTCTTATAGTTAAAAAAGGTATCAATATTTTTTTTAAATGCGTTTTTAAGGGGGGCACAATGGTGCCAATGGGGGGGGGGCACAACATTTTTTTTCCGCGCTGACGCGCAAAATGTCCCCCCCCCTCCAGAAATGCTCTCGTACGCCCCTGGGTCGGATGTGCAGTATAGCGGATTTGTCGTATTTCAGAAGTAGAGTAAAGCGGATTTTCGTAGGTCGAAAGATACACCATCACCCTGACTGTGTTCCATTTAAACGTATATGTAGTATACGCGCTACGCATAATAATTATTTACATATTTCTTGTTCTACAAGTCAGAGAGCGGAAAATTCTGATTAAATATTTTATGAATGGAATTTGTATCCAGTGAAACTTGAGATACAGGAAACCTTTACGCTTCATTTGTCTCAATTTGAGAATCAATCAATCAATGCACGAAAAGATCAAAGACGATCTGAGAAATTTAAATTTCCCGCGTTTATTATTTGGCTCTAAACTTAGCGTGACGTCAGGCTTGCGCATGTTTAATGTAGAAATTTAGCTTTTTATTTTGTTATGGTATCTACATACATCTTAATTTCAATGGGCAAGCTGATATAATTATGTGCATAAAAAGCTCCATGAAGCTTCGTGAATTGGTGATTATAAAACTATGGTGAAACCTAAACGCCGAAAGATGAAATGAAGGAAGAAAGTGGACAAAAAATTCCTTTAAAAACTATTTTGAAAAATTTTCTAAATCATGTTGAAAATATTGAAGCGAAGAGGATTGAGGGGGAAGATCTGTATGAACGGGAATTCCAGGCAAGTTAGAAATATCTTAAATCATCAAAAGTGAATTAAGTCTAAAGTTTCGCCGCCTCGGTCCAGGTCTTAACTTGTTAATATTTTGATAATATATCGGTTGGACTAATTGCCGAATGATCTAACCTTTAATTGCTAGGTAATTTCCTAGAGAGCGATTTTTTAGATCCCCCCCTCCCTCCTATCAAATTTGTACATGGATCTTAACTGTAAGAGGATCTTAACTGTAAGAGGATCTTAAATGTAAGACATGTGGCCGCAGCGCTCGGCCCCCTAGCCTGTCCTAGCCGCAGCGCTCGGCCCAGAAAGTGTTTAACCTAACTTAACCCTAAATGAAAAAAATAAATAATAATAAATCTGCTGATAAATAAGTGGTCATGTACAAAATTGAGAGGAGGGGGGCCCCGGGGTAGGGGCATGGGGGGATTCTAAAATCGTTCTCTGGGACAGACCCAATTGCTATAGTTCAGCTGTATAGAAACCGGTTTTTATTCCATGAGAACATTAGTTCATATGATCAAAATTAAATATCATTATGTTCAAATGAAAGTAGTATAAAGATATACTAGAGTATCATTTATATCAAGATCTCTGGCCACAGATTCTACCCCTAGCCGCAGGGGTCGGCCCTAAATTTAATTTAGTTTTGCAGAAATGTGGTCAAATCACAAGGTTCAGGGTCTTGATTCGCAAGAGTTTGGCTTCCTGGGCCGAGCGCTGCGGCCACATGTCTTACATTTAAGATCCATGTAGAAAATTGATAGGAGGAGGGGTTGGGGGTGTTCAAAAATCATTCTCTAGGCTAGTATTCCAAAAAATTGCTCAAAAAATTTACTCCCAAACCTCAAATCTGAACTATTGAACAGAGATTGTAAAAATTTCCTGATCTCTGAAGTGTTCATAAGTTTTAGCGTAAAGATAGGCGAATAAATCTCTACATAACATACAAATTTTCTGTTTTGTTTAAAAAATTCAGTAAATTTTATGTAAATAACCTGGATCCGGATCCATATTTTTCCAGTCCAGGATCCGGATCCGCATCAAAATTAAATGGAACCTAAGCGCTGGTTCAAAATACTGAAATTTTGATAATTTCTGAGTTCTTTGATCAATGAGAATCTGCTTATCTTCCAACTTTCATCCCTTAAACTTTTTTTACCCATTTTCTTTTGCAAACATATCCTGTAATGATTTTTTTTCCTTTTGCAGAGATTAAAAGGGTTCAGCGACGAACTAAAAACTAAAGAGGAGTTCTCGTGTTCCGAGGGAGACAAGGATGTTAATAAGAAGAAAAATAGATATAAGGGACTTAATATCATCCATATATTCATTCTTTTACTTATTCATTCATTCATTCGATGCATTTAAATATTTGTTGTATGTTTGAAAAAAAAGTATCTCGAAGGTTTTTTTCTTTTTTTTTGGGGGGGGGGGATTTAAAATGTAACTTTTTATTTATAAAACCCTTAATCAAAGAAATTTTCTTGATAATGTGAAGGCACTCAGCGCACACATTTTAACCTGGAGGGGGGGATAATTGAAGGCACTCAGCGCACAATTTTAACCTGGAGGGGGGGGGGGGGATATTTACTTTTTTGTCCATGGATGACATTAACCTAACAGGATATTCTTCCGTTTGACGGAAGCCGAGTTATTCTCTCCGATTATCCCGGAGTACCGGGCAGTGATTATATCAATGCAAACTTTATTAAAGGTAAATACTAGTACATGTTTTTTTCATTTCAATTTTTGAAGTTTAAGTCCAACACATTTAAATTCTTGTAGAAGTGATTTTGTCTTTAGTTGACAAACAGGAAACTGAAAATTATTGAGATTTTTTTCAAACTTTTTAGAGCATTGAAATAATGTTGACATTCCTTCTATAAACTATTCGAATTTGAAAATGTTCCGAATTTGTTTAAAAATCAAATGTTTCGCCTTATATTAAAACTGACATTTATCCAATATTTGCCAATAGTCAATTAAAAACTAGAATGCTGGAGGCTTTAGGATCACACAGTTTTGTTTGGTTGATTAATTGATTGATCGATCGATTTATTGATTGACTTTTTATTGCCTAATTGATGGATTGTAATGTAACAACTGGAATAACGAGAAGCATCGATGCAAAATACATTTTTGAATTGATGTGACGCTGAGACAAACTTACGCATATTGAAATAATGTAATATGAAACTGACGCATATTGAAATAATGTAAGATGAAACTGACGCATATTGAAATGATGTAAGATGAAAAAGACGCATATTGAAATGATGTAAGATGAAACTGACGCATATTGAAATGATGTAAGATGAAACTGTCGCATATTGAAATGATGTAAGATGAAACCGACGCATATTTGAAAATATGTAAGATGAAACTGACGCATATTGAAATGATGTAAGATGAAACTGACGCATATTGAAATGATGTAAGATGAAACTGACGCATATTGTAAATCAGGTGCCAGTGGCAGTAATGCTTATATTGCCTGCCAGGGTCCCCTCCCCCACACCGTCAACGACTTCTGGCGGATGGTGGTGGAGTGCGAGGTTCAGGTCATTGTCATGGCCTGCAACGAACAGGTCAGTTTTCTTATCATTTTTTTCTTTTGTTAAAAGGAAAGTTTTTAACTCTTTAAGGAAATTAAATGAACTTTTATAGATAGAAATGTTTTGCAAAACTGTGAAGGATCATTTAAAAGAAATTCTGCAGTAGAAATACTACAGTAGAAATCCTGTAGTAGAAATCCTGCAATAGAAATTCCACACTAGAAATTCTGCAGTTAAAAATCCCACAGTAGAAATTCTGCAGTAGAAATCCTGCACTAGAAATTACGCAGTAGAAATTCTGCAGTAGAAATTCTAAGAGAAATGTTGTGTATCGGGCTTTGCCATGTCTTGGTATAAAGGGTCATTTGAAACACTCCCGTCAAGTAAAAATTTGAATTTAAACCGAAAACAAGGAATAATCAGGTACTGCAGGGATAATAATGTTTTCTGAAAATATGATTAATAACAAATATATATATTAATGGATTTAAATAGTAGGAGGCAAGAAAACGAGCAATAATCAGGTACTCCAGGGATAATAATGTTTTCTGAAAATATGATTAATAACAAATTTATATTAATGGATTTAAATGGTAATGATAATGTTCTATGGTAGGAAGCAGGAAAGCATAAATGTGAATGCTACTGCAGGGATAATAATGTTCTATGGTAGGAGGCAGGAAAGCATAAATGTGAATGCTACTGGTCGGATTCTACTGGTGATGAAAAGAAACAGTTTGGAAAGTTCTTTATTTCCCTGCTCAAATCAAGGTATATAATAAAATGTTATTTCCCTTCTGAAATCAAGGTATATAATAAAATTTTATTTCCCTTCTCAAATCAAGGTATATAATAAAAATTTATTTACCTTCTTAAATCAAGGTATATAATAAAATTTTATTTCCCTGCTCAAATCAAGGTATATAATAAAATTTTATTTCCCTTCTCAAATCAAGGTATAAAATTATACTTTATTTCCCTTCTTAAATCAAGGTTTATAATAAAATGAAAGAAAATTCGAGTGTTTAAGTAAGATGACTAACGAAAGCGGTTGGGATTTTCCTTGATTACAAGAAGAAGAGTATCAAAGTATTCGATGATTGGCTACAACAAATACAACAAGTCGAGAACAAAAGGCTTATCTTTAGCAAAAATTTATCAAATTGATGTTTGACATTAAAAAAAACGGAGTTTAAATAAACTTCAATTTTTTCAGATTTTTCCAATTTTTGTGGGATTTCCAAAAAAAAAATTTCGCAATTTAAAAAATAGGTTCTTAAAATTCTTAATTTTGGAAAATGTTCTCAATTTTTGGCAAATTTTTTAGAAAAATCTTTAAATAAGAACAGCGTTCTTTATTTTTTTTGGAGGGCAGGGGGACAATTCTTATTTTTTTTATTTCAGGAATATTTGCCCCGATTTTCTAGTTCGAACCATCAAACTGGAGTGGACCAATGACCAGGGAAAAGAGGTAAAAGGGGTTAAAATCAATTTAGCAATAAAGAAACAAAATATCAAAATTAATTTAGTATCTATTTTTTACCATAATGATGCATATTCCGCACTTTAATTTTATCCTGTAGAAATACCTGAAATGATATGATTGAGTATTTATCAGTAAATCTAAAGTGCCTACAGTGTATATCGGGATCAAGCGATCGGAAGTTCGCAACTCTGAATGAATTGTGAATCTTTATTTTATGTTAAACTAGGAGGTTAGAACAGTTTGCCAGTTTCACTATTCAGCCTGGCCAGATCATGGAATACCAACTCAGGTCATTTTTAACATATTTTTTTATCACATGTTTTTTCCCGAAAATGGGCGAACTAATGGTGATTTTCTTAATACATTCCCGCCAGGGCAGGGGAAAAAACTGTTATCACTTAACAGAGGAAATAATTAAATTAAAGGGAATACACATGAGCGTATTAAAATGAAGATGTCCACCTCATTTATTTTTTTATTCTCCCCTCGAAGATGGAAAAATATTACTCCCCCTCTGATTCAGCAAATTGTTTTTCTCTAACTTTAATTTTTAATTATGTTTTGATGTTCGTTCAACCATTACTTAATAATTTCAACCTCAGTAGTTTCTCTTCAAGATTTAACGGTCTGATAAATATAATTAATGTCGAGATAAATCTGAAAACAAAATCTTTTCTAAATTTATGAAAGAAGCTTTCGTTGTAATTTCCAGAGACCCTCCGATTCAATCGGTATCCACTAAACCTTAATCTGAAAATGTGACAGATGTCGTCGTTTTTAGAGCTTAGCTAGCGTTTAGTTCTCAAATTTTAAATTGTATTCATTGTTTCTATATCTAGAAACCCGCATGACACTGTTACAGATTACCCACAATTAAAAATAACCATTTTTAAAAAAGAGAATCAATGAATATCTCGTAGATTCTTTATCAGACAAAGCTTTTAAGGGCGCAACTGTGAATCAGACATGCCAATGTATATATGTAGGGTCACTTGAAATTACTTCTACAAATCCTTTATTGTATAATGTATATGATTTATTGTTTCGAAAAGAGCCTCAAATTGAAAGAAAAGCAGTTAATCATGTTAGTAATGAGTGTCTAGGTTTGATTCAAAAATAATTCCATGTGTAGGTTAAGCCCTTACTAGAGATGGTTCGACTTATCCGGGACTGCCAGGCGTCTGAGACTCTACCTCTTCTTATCCACTGCTCAGCAGGATGTGGCAGGTAGGGGTCACAATGTACATTGTACATCCGCATTGTACACCGTACAGTGTACTGTATTTGGTGCATTTTTGGGTCAGCAAAATTTTTTTTTTAAATGATACTATCTTTCGTAATCTAATGGTACCTCCTTATTTTCTCTAAACTGAACAGTCACTTTCATTTTTGTTTCAGAACCGGAACCATCTGCGCCATCGACTATGTGTTTGGATTGCTTAGAAGTGGAAAAATAACTTCAGACTTTTCCCTTTATAACCTAGGTAAATAAAGTTATAGGAAGTTTTCCCTTTATAACCTAGGTAAAAAAAGTTATAGGAAGTTTTCCCTTTATAACCTAGGTAAATAAAGTTATAGGAAGTTTTCCTTTATAACCTAGGTAAATAAAGTTATAGGAAGTTTTCCCTTTATAACCTAGGTAAATAAAGTTGTAGGAAGTGTTAGCGAAAAATCAATTGATTAATGCAATATTAAAGGATTTTCTTGTTTATTATTAAGTTTATTTGTTCATTTTCAAATTAATTTTATTTATATATTTTTCATAAATTTTTTTCTTCATTTATATCTATTCTATTTTTAGTGCGAGAAATGCGACGACAAAGAATAGCTATGGTTCAGACTGTTGACCAGTACATGCTTTGTCACAGGTGCGTTGTAAGGGGTAAAATAGTGTATTCCCCTTTGTCCCTTTTCCCATAATATTGTTGTATTCACCGCAAAGGAGTATCAATTTTTTTTAATAAATTGTAATAAATAGGTAACAAGCTTACAATTTTCCCTTAAGTTTCTTTATTATTCTTTAAAATATTTTATTGGAATAATTTGGTTGGTTTCTTGGTTGATCGATTGATCAATTGATCTATTGGCTGATTGTCAGTTAGATTCAATGTTTGATTCCCAATTGATTGACTGATTGATAGATTTCCTGATTGACTGGTCAGTGGATTGATAGGAAAATTGATTGATTCACTGGTTGATCATATTAATAGATTGATTGACTTATTGATTAACTAATGTACTGATGAATTGTCTTATTGACCGATGAATGGATTAATAGGAAAAGGATTCTCTGATAGATTTGATTTATTGATTGACCAATGAACCGATAGGTTAATTGATTGATTGATTGACAAGTGAATCGATAGGAAAATTGAAAATTGGTTGAATAATTGATTGAATAATCAATTGGTTGATTGATTGATTGATTGGCTGATTTACTTATTGATTGAGTGATCGATCGATAACAATTTATTGACTGATTAATGTAATGATAGGATGATGATGATGATGATTGATTGATTGATTGATTGATTGATTGATTAGGGCTGTACGTGAACTGTTCCTTGAGCAACTGCGAGTGATTGACTCCCATCCTTACGAGAATATCGGCGACGATGGACAGCCTCTGATTGACCAGGGGGGGGATACCGTTATACCTGATTATGAAACAATATTTGTTAAAGGTTGGTCCTAAGTTCATTTTAAAAGTTCCTACCCCCTAAATTTTGTTAGTAAGAATATTAGTAGTTTCTATAGTTGACACAAAAGTGTTGATTATGAAATCATATTAAATATATTTTTTTAAGGCGGGGATTGGGGGCATCTTAAAAAATCTGAATCTGGGATTTAATTTAAACAAATGATAATTCTGGGGTTTTCTTTTAAGTTATGATATAGAATCTGCAAATAATTTAATTTGCATAAAGATTTTATTCAAATGTGACATTTGTAACTTTAGGTGATGTTGATATTGACAAAATTCTGACTCAACGGCAGAGTGTTCCAAGAACTGTTATGGGAACTGCTATGCTTACTCGGGATCGATCACCGCCTACGGTTGCCGGTGATGTAGACGGTTCCAATTCAGGGTCAGACGAACCTGTTTTACCGGCCACCCTGGACGATTTCTCCGCCCCACCCGGTTCTCCTCATATCCATGAACCGCCTAAACCGCCGGTTAATCCGAAAGAAACGGCTCCGCAGCGGTTTAAAAAAGGAAATCTCCGCCTAATGCAGACAGATGACGGCGGGTGGAAGTTGGAAGAGCTGGAAGAGAAAAGACGTAGTCTGGAGGCGAATAGTCAGAAAAATACAAGTTATGAGACGGAAGATCGGCGGACAAGTCCTGGACAAAAACCGCCCGCGGCGGATAAACGGCGGAAGAAAGGTTCTAAATCAACCGAGGAGAATGGACACAAGGATTCACAGTTGCTCAGAAGGTATCAAATCACTCTCAAAATTGAAAAAAAAATTTATCCGACAGTAAAAAGGCTTTTCCCATTCACCCTTGATTATGATCAAACAAAGATTGTTAATCGGACATACTACTCAGTAAATAGAGTCCCTTGAAATAACAATTGCAGCCCATTTAAACAAGTAAATCAGAATTTTATCTTCTCTTTAATTATGACGAAATGACACTCCCAATGGAAAAAAGATGTTTTCCGACAGAATAAAAAGTCCTTGATCAAATAAACCTTGTAAATCGGACAATTACTTTCAACTTTCTCATTAAACGAAAACTCTTTCTTTAAACATATTTCCTGTGTCAGGCCCTCGATGAAAAAGATCAAGGCATTCTTTGACAAGTCCAGACCTGAGTGTAAGGAGGAGGGTGGGAGGGAGGAGGAGAGAGAGGAGGGGAAGGAGGAGAAGGAGAACATGAGAGCTGATCACGAGAACCATGATATTCATATATCCAGCGCTATGGCAAAACTGCCCAAGATGGAAAACGGGCAGGTCAACCTTGACGATCTTCCTCAGACGGGATCTAAGGTAGATTAATTGGTTGGTTGGTTGGTTGGTTGGTTGGTTGGTTGGTTGGTTGGTTGGTTGGTTGGTTGGTTGGTTGGTTGGTTGGTTGGTTGGTTGGTTGGTTGAAAGGTTGAAAGGTTGATTGATAGATTGATTGATTGATTGAGTTATGCATCGATCGTTACATTAATTCATTCATCCTTGATGGGATGTTTCATTGAACGAATGATTCTTTGATAAACTGATCCATTGAATCATTGTTGGATAAATTGATAGATTGGGCAATGAACTTTATTTATTTATTTATAAATTGATTGGTTGATTGATTAATTGATGGGTATTGAATAAAATTATTGGATTTTAATGATTGATAAATTGTTTTATTGATTCAATGAATTATCAATTAATGTATTGATTTACTAAGTTATTTATCAAAGGATTATTTCAACAATTGTTTAATCGATCGATTCACAGATGGATAATCAATGAAATAATTTACTAATTAATTAATCACTTGATTGATTAAATGCATCTTTGTTTTTAGATTGTTCAATTCTTTGTTTAACTTTCTTTGAATTTTTGTTTGATTGTTCTCAGTTTTGAGGCTTCAGAAATATTCTATTAAAGTTTACTACTTTCAGAAAAGAAAAAAATGTATTATTTTTTTTCAGAGTGTTCCGAATTCGCTTGACCGTAAGAGCTCCGGTCTGCAAAAATATTGGCCTCTGCAGAACAAACAAAATCAGCCTAAAACAGAGGTATAGTAGGAGAAGGAGAGGTATAGTAGGAGAAGGAGAGGTAAAGTAGGAGAAGGAGAGGTATAGTAAGAGAAGGAGAGGTATAGTAGGAGAAGTAGAGGTAAAGTAGGAGAAGGAGAAGGAGAGGAAAAGTAGGAGAAGGAGAGGTAAAGTAGAAGAAGGAGAGGTATAGTGGGAAAAGAAGAGGTATAGTGGGAGAAGGAGAGGTATAGAAGGAAATATTGGCAGTTTAAGGGGACTATTAATTGTAAATTTGGGGGGGGGGAGGTGTTAGGAATAAAAATACAGAAATTTTAAAATATTATATTCAGTTTGAGAAACCTGAACTCCCGTTAAAGCGAAGTAAAAGCATGAAGACGACAATAAAACCCGTCTCAGTTATACCAATCATACGGTCAGACGAAACCAGTTTCTCGGAATACAGGTTTGTGCAGAGTCTCTTTATAAGGGGTGAGAATAAGAGTTAAAATAAAACAACTCGGACATGCAGCGCCACAATACGTACAAGCGGCGAATATGGGAACTAACAATTTGGCCGTTGGATGAAACCAAATTGGATTAATGTTTTCAGTTTTCTTGTCGGAATATCTGTGTCCATATACTTGGTTTTTTTTTTTCATCTAATTGTCCGATTTAACTTGTAAAAGAAAAAGGCCAATTGTATTAATTTTAAGAATCTTATTAAAGTCCAATAATATTAGAATAAAACTGAATTCTTTGAAGTCAGAGCAAAAGTAAAGAAACGAGACCTCTTTTCATTCTTGATTTAGTAAAATAGTCGTCTCAGATTTTGTCGTGTGGGTGTAGGACAGTCTTATTTGATATAATATGATTTGTCTACATTTTCTGTTGTTCGCTTATTCGTTAGTACGGATTTGACGGTGGTCTGGGGATTCCTTTTTTATTTTATCTTAAACATTTGGGGGAGTTTGTTTATAAAAGGGGG